AGGTTTTGTGACCGAAAATACGACATACGCAACCACTATCGGTGTGTACGAGCCAACGAGATTGGTTGAAGTTGATACTCGAGTGAAGTTGCTAATATAGGGGTAAGTAAATCCCCGAAGTAGATAGTTCCGACTTTATCAGCCCTACTGGTTGCACTCTAGTTGAAAGCGTTCGGCCATGTATCCGGCATCTAACAGTGTTAATGTCAAAATTCAATCGATCCAGTGGGGTACGACTGTGTCTGTTGTGAGGGAGTTATTGACAATATCGTGGATTGGTTCAAGCCAAATATTTTGACCGTTGGATATCGGTTCAGCGGTCTAGTGGTCCAGAGTTGGCACGCGGAACCAAAGTTCCTTAGTTCGAGACCTTTTGGCGTGTGATCATGGATGTACACTTCTGAGGATTCACACACTGAGACGAAACCGCCGTCCAGTGCTTTCAGGTTTTCTATGGTGGTCTAGCTTTATTTGGTTCGTGAATTCAACTATTAAGGTCTCGACAAAACCACTTTCTGATTATTAGTTATATGATGAATTTAAGGAAGGTTCCAAGGTCGACTTTTGAGACTAGACATGCTGTGACTGCACTCCGATACTTTCCTTACTTGAAAGAAAAGCTTGTTGGCTCTATGGAAGTGAGTGGATGAAAATTGCACATTTTGTTGACATTTCTATTTTTGAAATGAGGTTCCAAGGAAGAAAACAAGTCTATGCTCAGTTTCGTGTTTAATGAACATATACTCTTAGCGTGGAGTTCTTGTAAGTGATAACTAAATTGCTCCTGGACTCTTAAAACATATGCTTGAACGACTTATGGTTTCCTTCCCACATTTCTTGCACACTTACATATCTTGCTTTACATTCCGAGTTTGAGACTGGTCATGTCTCTTGAGTAATGGGCAGTTAGTTGATTAGTTAATTGATTGATGGTGGGAGCGAGATAATCTCTCGAGAGCAGGCTACACAGAAACCATTTGAAATTTCAATTTTTAATAAAAGCAAGACTGGCTTTTATTTGGACATCTATAACTTTCCCTGGAATCTAACTGTCAATCTAAAGGCTTCACTGGAATTAGTTTGCCATTAGACTAGTTGGTTGATATCTGATGATTCGCGTGTATAAAATCCTGGATCGGATTGAAAACTGAATTAGGGTTGGATACTAACGAGAAAGGCCAACCAAAAAAGTAATAATATCTGTCGCGTGCCCTCCAGTTTTTCAGAGCAGTTCAAATGAGATCAACGTGATAGGTACGACCCCAGAATATATGTATTTAGTTCCAGATTATCTAAGCTGTAACAAAGCATGGCAGCCGTAGTTGATCAATGTACTCTGGCCCTAGTCATCTGTGTTATGTGTCACGGTGGCATTTCATAAATTGATCACCCTTCCACTTTCATCATAAGTCCCAGTTTCGGCGAATGTTGAACGGCTTATACCATGATGAAATAACATTCTTCAAACACTTCTGGTCCTGGTAGTCAAACGCACATTGCCAGATGTCAGCAATAATGTCATGGTGTTAACGCTAATTGTGAGTAATGTCTTTGGGATAACCATGATGTAAACTCAGCTCTTAGCGATTCAGCCTTAGAAATGCAACACTGTTTCACATTAGTTTCTGAGTAACGAAATCAACCAGGGTGTCGAATATTATTTTGGAACAGATAACTTCTAGTTTGTCGTGTTTTCTTTACCGAAAATAGCTCGATCTGGCTGAGATTATACTTAAGATTTACTACAAACTCGTCAGCATGCTCGGATTACCAGGCATTTTTTTGGCAAGTATTGCTAAAATTATACGTAAGGATAGGCCTGTAGTGGCATTGAACAATAACCGCACAATCCACAATGCTGAACACGAGACTACTCAGAAAATAGATATTCAATATTTAACGCGGATAAATACCTAACAATGGAGAAGGCGCGAACAATGAGTTGAAGGTACTGGAGTTGATCGAGTGGCATGGCTCGGCCATGCAGGCGTGGTCTCTGCCGAATGTTACCTTATATTTTCTATTCATATTAAATATATTGTTCTTTCTCTAACCTAACCTTGTTCTACAGCATGTATTGGTAATTGATACGATACAGTGAGTTGGTGTAGTCGATGGTGTGACTTCCACGTAAGATCTTATAGATTAGGCAGTTATATCATGACGAATCTACAAATTTAGGATTAGGTCTATTATTAGAGCAGTACTAATATCATAGTAGACCATAGTTCTACAGGCCCATCATAATGGACTGGTTCAAATTACGGGATTTTATGGATCATGAAAAGGTCAAGACTTTAAAAACAAGGAGTTAAGTGAAGTTATCGGTGAGTTTACTCACAAATTCAGGTTTTTGTATGGATTTACTTACTGCTCATCTTTGTGGTTTTGTATTGTTATTAATTGAACCACAGGGCACTTGAAGCTGAAGTGAGAAAAATAATATTCAACGTTTAACGCTGAGGGAAGATCAGTAATGGTGAACGTGGGGAGACTTCCTCAAGTCTAGACGGTTGTACGAGAAACTTTTAGAATGAAGATCAATTTAAAAATGAACTTTTCGTGGGCAATATCAAGGATCTACCCAGCTTTAAGTAGGATAATGACTGTATGATGGGATAATAAGTTTTTAAATAAACGGCTTCCCTGCGAAAATCTCACGACGGACTACAATGCAAGGGCAGTTTGCAAATACATACTATTTGAAGACCAATGTCAGACAAGGCTGCTAACTCTCATTTCTGTTTCTTTTGGTGGTTGACTGGATTATGAAAGCCTCGATATCTGAGAGGAAGCGCGGAATGCAATAATTATCTTGTACTCAACTAGATGATTTGGATTTTCAGATGACCTAGTTCTTCTGTACTGTACACATCGACAAATTCAGATGGACTAAATCACTGAAGCAACAGCTTCCGCAACATCAGGTCTTGAAACATACAAGAGGAAAAGCAGAGCATTAAACAGATCTTACTTAATGGAGAAACTCTGGCAGCGGCTGAAGGCTTTACATATCTGAGCAGCACCGTTGATAAACTATGAGGACTTGATTCAAATGGGAAGGGATAACAAATTAATTGATCCCATAATTGAAGAATATATGAAACTCAAAACGACCATCAGTCAACACCAAACCCCGTATGTTCAATACAAACATCAAGACAGTTCTATTATATTGAGCTGAGATTTAGTGAACTGTTTCAATCGTCGTCAAAAACGTACTGGTATTTATAAACAATTGTCTATAAAGATACTGAATGTCCGTTGGCCATATATCATCATCAACATCACTCTATGAGAGTGGAAAGACAAGCTCCCAGCTGAAGAAGAAATTAAAAAAGGTACTTAGGGTGGGTACAACACTTTACCGAAACCATCAAAATACACCCTGAGGAAAGCCCCAACTTGGAGTCGTGAATTTTGGTAGATAGGTCAAAGAGTACATTGAGCTGAGTATCGAAGGCAGATGTCAAAACATGAATAGCACTCGGAGACTAAATGCCGTCAGCAGCATCCCTCAGCTTCCGGCTATGGAGGAAATCAGGAAAAGATGTTGGAAGCATATAGGACATACATTACGAAAATCACCGAACTGCATCACGAGGAAAGCCCCAACCTGGAGTCGTCAACGTTGAATGAGAAAATGTAGATCTAAAGGCATTTTGCGCTGAATATCGGAGGTAGCCGTCGAAAAAGGGAATACCACTTGAAAGGACAGCCTTAGACAGAGAGGGATAGAAAGTGATAGTTGTGTTATATGTTCCATGAGGGTTGACAGGCGTGGGTAAATCAGTAGGTAAACAATGATCCAGAAAGAAACCTATTTCAAGCTAACTAGCGAGTTTCTTTGAGAAGAATTTTAAGAAGTACCAAACTTATCATAAGACCAAAAATTTAGAAGTCTTTGCAAAATAGGTGAGCCCGTTATGGTTTAACTACTTTCGCGGTAAACTTGTAGTGTCAGTCATTATTTTAAGCCGATAATATATCTTATTCTAGTTTTTGGACAAACCGATCTATTCATTCTACTTGAGTCATATTTTGACCTTGTTACTTATTCGCTTATCAGTCTTGACTGTTTTTATATGAGCGTATATGTGTGTACACTTCATATCCCATGTCTCTCATCATATGTCTGTAGTTTATTTTGTCTGCCTATAAATATTGAGTAACGCCTGGCTAAAAATTGAGTTGGCTTACTAGCCATCTCCACTGCGCGTCATTTTGCTTTGTTCTAATACATTCACTTTACATACAAAATATATGTATTCAAAGGCGATTCTCGTTATTTGACTTATCTAAATTCCGTTATTGACTAACGTGATTTAAGTCGATGATTGTATACGAGGATAGGTGATAACAAACACTCTTACGATCTACGTGGAGTTAGATCCACGGGCCACTAAAGCTCGTCAGCAAACATCGTCCGATCTGAACGACGACAAAATCACGGGCCCCACTAAAAACTGTTTTAAAACATGAAATGGTTCAAGGATCTGAAACTCGTTTACTTAAGGACATTTGTAAGTTATCATATCGACCCTAATTTTTTTCATGGCTCCTAATTGTCAATCGCTTAACAGTTCCCTGTTTCTATACGGACTCATGATCAACTGTTAACAGAGTCCTGATTGAATGGATAAGCGGAATCTGTAACAGCTTAGGTTGATTTGTTAAGAGCTGACCTCAAACATCTAAATACATGTAAAAAAATAGAGCTCAAGTATTCATTCACTTCCTTATTTTGCACAGGGATTATATTTCCATTTATCTTGTATTGTACATTGAAAAGCATTGTGCGTTTAAACAAGCAACCTGGTACTTGATGATATCCTGCAACACGATCTAAATAAAGAAATATTTCACTACTAGTCCAGTTTCTTCTACCAACAGAACGAAGGCTATCTATCGGCATGATAGATTGATTTTAATTATTCACCTAGTATGAGTATCCTCAATTTGGATTATGATTTTCTCAAGAAAAAATTAATCAAGACTTTTTTTAATTCAGTGGAAATAGTATTTATCCACAATTAAATTAAATGGTCAAACTGAAAGACACAATGTTTCGCAGCTTGATTGATGATAATAAATCCATCTGTTGGAATTACTAAGTTGTTTGTTACTTTTAGGATTTCACTTGGATAACTGGTATATGCTCAACAGAGATATTAACATTAATACAAAGAGAAATGCATCATCTGAAAAATATAAAAAGAAGTAGAACATCAGCAATAACAATTCAGTAAAAAGTAATTTAATTTACGCAATGTTAAACAATGGAATAATCGGATTCATGAGTCAATCCCGATACTACCACCACTACTACTACTACTACTATTTTTACTACTACTACTACACTACTACTACTACTACTACTACTACTACTACTACTACTACTACTATTTTACTCTAAACGAATTCCATGTACTGAGTTGACAGGTTCCTGTTACAAACTGAAAATTGCCTGGATAAGGATTTAGAATTTAAAGTGATAGACTACTATAATGTTCTTTGTCCTATTTCTGGACCCATTGAACAGGTCACTTGGGATTGCATTCAGAACCTTTTCATATAATAATGTTCATTTTATATTGTGATAACTTATATGGAATTTTCCTGGTTTGTATTTCTAGTTTCAATCACTCTGTAATGATTTTCTATAATAATCTAATGTTAAGTTGAAGGGACTTTTCTAGAGATTAGTTTAGTCTGTGTATTGTAGTTGTTCAGTTTGGGATTTTTTGCGAACCAGCTAACGGCAAACAGCCACTTTCTCCTAGTATGAAAGTGATGACCAGCAATAATTCACAGCCTTATCTACAACCTTCAGTCCTTGCGGGTATCGGTTTAGGATTAAGGCATCTGGGTCGGGATCTATCAGTATAAACAATAGAGGTAAAAACGATACACTTCAAAATGTGTATTTTTTATTCTTTCTAAATGAATTTACATTCACTTACTACATTTTTAATTGAATGACAGTTCCCGGTTATTCATCTAAACTGGAAATAGATTTACAAACTGTTATCTGTATTGAAAATATGTCGAAGAAACAAAAGAAAAGAAAAGAAACAGATCATTCGATAGATTATGTAATTGAAAGGGAAGTGTTATACCCTAACAAAGAATAAATGAATGGTAACTGATAGGAGTTATTTATGAACTATTATTACGTGTATTCCTATCGGATAACTATTAAGTAACTAGATTTACTTGGTATCGTTTGTTTTAATCTTCTCATTGTTATTTAGGACTGCAACTGATTAGTCTCTTGTTGGCATATGTGCATTGTATGCGGATCACCTCGACATCACCTTGAGTCACAAGCTTTACAAGCAAAGATGAATGATGGCTAGCAATGGAACTCAGGTCACGTGTTGCGTCCTATTTTGGGACTTATTAGACAAATATACCTGCATACCACAGTCGATGTTTATTTCGGGACTAAACAAGCGTACTGGATACGACTGCTAATACGCATCCATCTGTAGTGACTCACATTCATCACGAGAACACGACTGGTCTAATAAAAACAATTATTATTATAACCAACTGTACCAGTGCTTGTTTTAATGTGCTTTTGTTTAACTGTGCTAATGACAGCTATATTTTGCTTCCATTCTTTTACACACACTTTGATTGTAACTTCGCGCGAATTCGGTTACGTTCTGTAACCAAGCTTGTATCCTGGCACGATCTCGGTATCCTTTCGATGCCACGAGATCGCCAGCTAATAAGCCTCAACTTGGTTCATTAATTGCCTTCTGGTATTTGGCTTCTCGGGGATTTTATGGATTTATTTGGTTACGTTCAACCTACGCCTTCTGATTTATTTGGCACATGTTTCTTGGTAGCGGTGTTCATAGTTAATTTCAACTCGACACCACGCTACACATCTCTGCTTAGAAACATGCTGGCGACAATCGGGAAAAAAATGCACAAATGCTAATGGAGACTGATCGATTACAGTCCTAAACATTAATGGGAAAATTCGAGCAACCCATACAAAAATAAAGTAAAACTTCACCTCATTGCACAAGCTAGTGTGTATCAAAACTCAGTAGTTAAGTGGGTAACGTGATGACATTTGAAGTGTACAGCACTGTGTTGGAGTTCTGAAGTGAACATCAACTGTGAGATGTAGATACATCCATCTGACGACTGTTAATTAGGATGAAACAAGCGTTCTGGATCCTACTGCTAATCACCATCCATCATGTTTATAGGTCAAATTAGTTATTAATTTAAGTTTTCGAATGAATGAACTTTCTTCTAAATGTCATTGGGAATTCTCCCTCTCTTTTCTTCCTAAACATTCTTACAAGTAACACTCAACACTGATAGATTCGGATTCTATGCATGTTGAAAAGCAACTACACGTCGTTGATGTTTGAACGAGGAAGATAATGATTGGTTGTTTGCTTAGTCACACTAGGAGATAGTCTGACAAGTGTTAGATGAGTTATGTATTCAATGACCCTTGATATTATTATGATTGTTGTCGGTTTATAGTGTGGAAATATACTCACATTCTAATCAGGCTAGTCATGTGTTCTTGATCTGAGTTGTGTTGAAGTCCTGTAGAATAATAGACACTGGGAGGGAATCTAGTGTAGATTAACATCCCATTAGTACAGACGGAAAATCGAGCGTTATAACAGTAATCATAATGATAATTGTTAACTGTATTTTTCTTTCTACTGAATGTGATTTTTTGCAGAGTTAACTGCAATTTGATTACCTTTAACATGATTAACCTGGTTATAAAAAAGTCAAAACCTCGTAAAGAATTAGAAAATTCTTCTTAGGTTGCAGATAACCTGATGCTGTTGAAGTTTTGAGTTATCATAGTCATACCGTAATGTACGAACAACCCAAATCCAGAGGAAACACCGATTTTATTGTGAAATATATGTAGTCAGTCAGCAGCAACGTAGAACTTCGTACGTACGTACATACATCAGTTCAATTTGCCACACCACATCAACACACAGATACAATTGTCGATTCTAATCCCATAGTGGTAGAGGTAGTAAGAGTATAAGCAGTAATCGGAAAGATTAGAGTTTGAAGATGTTATTCAAGGAGTATAATTCAGTGAAATAAATTTGGAAAGAGAAAAAAGAAAGGGACATGAAAAATTCAGAAGATTATAATTTGGGAAAACACAAAGAGTGGATGCACCTGTACCATTGCAAACGATTTTGAGTCATGTCATTCAAGGTCTCTAATCATCGGTTGCTATCGTCTCATGGATCCCAACCAGGTAGTATACACATATTCTTCAGTCTTCCATTTGGATCTATTGTGTATTACGTAACTCAAGCTGGTAGTAGATTACCTTCTATAGCCTTCTTTCTAGTCTCACAAGTATTTGTACATTTCACTTGCCTTGAACTGTCAATTGTAGCAATTCCCATCTGACGTTTAACTGCATACAACTTATCTGGTGAGTAGATTCCATCATAATACAAAGTAGATTTATCATAAATTCAATAGATTCAATCCATATTTTATACAATTCTACATAAACCTCTACATATTCACTAGTAGTAACTTATAGAGTAGAATACTATTAAACGACTTATATTACCTCTAAATTACTCGTGACTTCTCCTGATGGATTCCTGAGAAATAGCGTTAAAGGAGCATAGAGAAAACAAATGATTGCAGTAATCCAAATCATCCTAAAATATGATGAAAGGAAAACAATCTCAATATAACAAGAGAAGAAGGACATTTCATGATAAAATGACGTTTACTGAGTCCTCTTACTTAAAATGGATTTCATTCAAATGTTTCTATTGTTGTTTTGAACAACATTATTGTTATAACTTGTGCTTTATGCCTTTATCAATATATATGACGTAACGATACCGTTAATTAGAGAATAGTGAATTATTGACTGGACTAATGACGCATAACACCCGTACAAGCAGTCTAGAGTCCTTATCTGTCCTACTTCCTGCATAGCCCTGCCTTCCTGTTGAGTCCAGAACACCGATCTCAGACTCCAACATATGAATCATGCATATCAAACATGCGGAGTATATATACAAACCAAACAGACCACATCGTACCATAAAATATTAAATAACATTTGTACAAGATTTAGCCAAAAGTGGATATGAATGAGGGAGACTGTAATGAATAGACTGCGCATAACTCAAGAAAGGTAAACCTTATAGTAATAGTCTGTAAGTCAAAATAAAGCTTATGATAAGTGAAATACGATTGTGAATGGTTTGGTTACTTAACAATTACTCAGTAAGAAATATGTGTATGATGTAAGACCATAAACTCCTCTTGGGCTACTGCCAGCCCCAATCCCGAATAAAGAAGGAGGGTTGGGCATGAGGTCAGTGACCTCATCCTGTAGAAGACTAACTTGCCAAAAAACACTAACCAGAAAAAACCATTCAAACCATTTAACCTTCACCATAGGAGTTAGAAGATCTTTATTTAGAAGAGTTATGACGTATCATGATGAGAGCCAAGTCCCTTCGGAAGTCACGAAGCTGATATCCTTTCTGATAACCAGAGCAACCATTTATTTAGGTATACGGAATGCTCGTACAATATGAGAAACTGAAAGAGTCTTCTAAATTGATGCATTAGACCATAAATAAATCCTGACAGTTATCGTTCATTATTCTCGTTGGGATATAACAATTATCAGCATGTAGGGCCAGATAAATGTCACTAAGCCTTAGCCAAATCATCTGGCAGTTGGGTCATTGAATATTGAACAAATCATCGATCCTTGTCAAGGTCAAGGACAACCAACGCGCATCAGTTAATCGTATGCCATGGATTGGCCCATGCGCTAGTGGTCCTACTTTCGCTTGTATCTACTTTAACTAATATATTTCTGTAATAGCGTCCTATGTGTTATATAGTCTTCAAAGCATCTATGGTACCTTGATACGTCAATGGGGTACTTCATGTAAGGTGCTGACCACGAGGTGTGACTTCGACGTTATCTAGTTTTTCATACCATTCACGTCTAACTCAAGTAGGCCTCCAATCATTTTGACATAGATCATCTACGTTGGTGATCTACAAGCGCTTACTTCATACAGATATAGAAAACTCAATTAGATCAAAATTATTGATCTGTGATGTAAATGTTTTTTATCACTTAACATTTTGTTAAGACACCCAATTTGTTTAGACCAGATCACTGTGAAAAACTTGAAGACATTGAACAACCTTTTTTTGTCCTAGTATGAATTTGTAGTGTCGGTTATTATGTTAAGCCCATATACCTTGTTCTAGCTCTCGGACAGCCCATTCTATTCATTCTACTTGAGTCACATTTTGACCTTGTTAATTATTCGCTTATATCAATCTTGACTGTTTTTATATGTGGGCGCGTAGGTGTGTGTACATTTCTTATCCCATTATTCACCACATATCTGTAACTCACTTTTGTGTAACTATAAATATTCATTGACGTTTGGTTAAACGGGAGTTGGCTTACCCGCCATCTCCACTCCGTGTCGTTTCTCTTCTCTCTATTCCATTCACTTTATATACAAAATATATGTATTCACAAGTCCGTATCTCGTTATTTGACTTATCTAAATCCGTTATTGACTAACGCGATTAAAGTCGATGATTATATATGAGGATCAGCGACATGTATATTTCAACAACAATCATCATTACAATCACATTGGAGTCAGATCTCGGGCCACTAAAGCAGAGAGCCCATTCGACAACATCGTTCGATCTAAATGACGATTAAATAACGGGTCTCCACAAGTTTCTTCTAGTAGTTTACAACTTCATTGTTGATTACTAAGGATCAAAAACCATAAACTTGGGTCTTGTATACAAAAGCTTAATTTTTAAACTATTAAGTCAGAATTATTTTCAGGTTTATCAAAGTTATAGGCTGGAATAGGTAACATCATCTAGGTTTGATGTATAATATCATGACTTCTATAATGTTAACAGTTGACTTAAATAGTAAAACGTTTATTCCAAAAATGGTATTTGAATAGTTATTGTTAACGGCGAGACTATAATTTATGGACGACCTTTGAGTGACGCTAAAGTAACCTTGAGAGTGTTCGCTTAGTAACTAGGACGAAATGAGGGTTATAAACCAGGGTGAGGAATTCGAATGATGGTTTACAACGAATGAATAAGGTTGGGAATTACATTTTGGGTTTTCACCACGAAATGACATCAGTTATAATGTCAATACTCTATTTAACCAAATGAATGAATGAATTTCGCGCCAAAATCCTAGCTGTGTTATTTTATACCTGATTGGTTCGCCCATAAATTATAGTCTCACAGAGCTTGAGATTATCGTTTCTAGTAAGATTTTAGAATTGTTGAAAAATATTTGAGTAATCTTATGAAATGCCTTATTACTTATCATTTTATATGTAGAAGATGATTCTTGTTAAAGTGCATCGACGGCCCTGGTACGGCCGTGGGTGAGGAGAGTCGGCTCTCCCTTTAGAAATACTCTCACATGGCCAAGTGTATACAGCTACTGTCACGGAGGTCGTACTCACTGCCTTTTGGCAGCAAAGGTGATGTTTACGAAATTGAGAGAACGAAAAGTGAATGTACTGTGCTTTAACCGGCCTCGTAGATATAAAGGGTGCACTTAGGGCAGTTGGAAAACCGAGATACCAAATCAATGGTGCATATAGATTCCAGGATCCTAAGAAAACAATTGTAGTGTGAACCTATTCTTGGCTATCGGCTTTCATGGGACCGCATCTCATTACGTTGCTCCACTGCCTTGTGGATCAGACCTTTAGGTCGAAGGCTCCAGGTGTGTCCCCCCCCCAAGAAAACCACCTGTTTCGGTTCGGGCACTCGAGCAGTGTCACAGCTCACTCATAAGTCAGGTTACTTGTGTGACGCATATGTATTTGATGCTCCTTCGTACCAATATTTATTGGTTCATATAAATAAATAAGTAATGTAAAACCTTAAATTAGTTATGAATCACTATTGACTGCTTCCAAACATTTAACATTGACTGAAAGTCATATCAGTTCGTGAGAATATATATATGAGTATGTTCGATCGATGTGAAAGATGTTGAATTAATCAGGAGGTGGTTTCGTTTTAACAAAACGAATAGTATTCGTAGTTTTAAAGGTTGATATCCTAAGTAGACGGACCAGTTCTATATCCTTAGATGATGCATGATTTATCAAATGAATAATTTAGGCTGCAATAATACAGTACAACACAAATACCAACAATGTTGATACCCTATAAATCCATTCAAATTGTAAACAATAATAATGCTAGTACACAGTAATCACTTACACTATGACCTAGAGGTGTTTTGTTCATGATCCGTAGTAAGGATACGGATCCGTACTTCTGAGAAGCCTCATATTAAAATTAGTCAACTGTTCAATCACTTCTGGTTATCAGTTGTTGATAAAAAATACATTATTTTCATAATAATTATTCTATTCTGAGATGGTGGAGAAGATTTGTAGCTCAGATGGATGATTTTGATAGAGTTTTGTTCTTTGAGCTGGATGATTCAGTCGTGGAGCTGTCATGGTTCTTCTGAACAACATCATCAGCACAAACTTCAGTTCTGCTTGTGATGATGATGTTGTTCAGAAGAACCACAAAAGCTTCACGACTGAATCATCCAACTCAAAGAACAAGACTCCATCAAAATTATTCTATTTCAACATCTATCTAATAAAACCAAATTGTTAAGCTATAGGCTTACCAATTAAAACCTAAGAATTTGACCAGTACAGCACCAACAATTGGTCCTATTCAAAAATATAAAAAAATTTGTAACAACAGGAATATGAATTTCTAACAAAATATACTCATGAAAAGGGGGGGGATGTTTGTTAAAATTGTAGTAATTTGATAGTTGGGATCACAAATCAATTGAAGCTAGACCATCATGGAAAACCTGGAAGCGCTGGATGGTCATTACATCTAATTGTGGGACTCCTTAACAATGCACACCCCCGATTCGGAAATGTTGAATACCGACTCAGTGGTCTAGAAGTTAAGTGTCCACATGCGAGACCGAAGGTCCTGGATCGGGTTTCTGGCTAGGATGTTGTAGTTCTGCACTGTTGAGGTGTCTCATACTAAAACAAATGGCCATTTGGTACTCGTTGGATTTTATTGGTAGTCTAACATCATTCGGTCCATTATTTCTGTGAGATGATGTTTTAATTTCACAAACGATTATGTAAATTCACTATTCGACCAATATTACTCCGCTATTTTTGTAGGGTCATGATGAAAAACCGATTGGAAAGAAATATTTCTTCAATAAACTCCTTTCTTTGTTAAATATCTGATTGGGTCTCTCTGCATAACCAGACGAATTTAAACTTCACCACATTGCACACACTAGTGGCAGTCAGAAATCAATAGCTAAGTGAAGCGAACGGTACTTTGTTCGAATTCTAGAATGAACATCAGCTGTGGGATGCAGGTACATCCATCTGACGAGTCTCAGTTAGCACGAAGCACACGTTCTGGATTCCACTACTAGTCACTATCTGTCTTTTCATATAAGGCTTGTGACTTAAGGTAATATCGAGACAATATGCACAGTATGCACATACGCCAATAAGAGACTGATCAATTACAGTCCTAAACATCAATGGGAAGATACAGGCAAACAATACTAAGTGTATATCAACGAAAAATAATTCTAATTATTCGAACTACTGAATTTCTAAAAGTAGCACAACAAAATGTACAAAAAAGAACAGGGAATTTTCGAATGTACATTTAATGTGCTTGATACATTAGTTTACTGGTATCGGATACATGAAGTAATCCATCTCTACTTCATTCACATTTTAACTATTTATGATATTCAGCGTTCGATTATGTCTATTCTTTTCAGCGACTAGTGAATCTTACTTCTGAATTTTTCCAAACGAATAATTCAAACCATGAGTCAATTGAAGCTAGACCACCATGGAGGGAGGCGGGATCGTGGATGCACACTGCTGAGGAGTCCCATACGAGGACGAAATGGCCGTCCAATGCTTCCAGGTTTTCCATGATGATCTACCTTCAATCGACTTATGATTTCAACTACTGAAAATGAAAACTAGTTAATTTTTATTATAAAAAAACATGACAACCATCAATTAACATACCAACTACAAATGAAAGACAAAATGCCACATCTGCAATAGCATAAACACTTCCATAGACTGCAACATGTCTTAAGTCTACTAAATAACCCATGATTGGCATCATTGATGAATCAACCATGCCTAAATAAACCAAAAATAAGAACAAAGAGAACAATGGAATTGAAATATGAAATCATATTTTAGTGTAGAAGAGTGATACATATGCACAATGAATTGGTCCGAGATTTCCCTTTCAGGTACATATTTGTTAAGTATGTGGTATGAATGTCAACCCTACAGTGAACAAGAGCAAAAGTGGGGACAATCGAATGTATTTGTATACACAATTACAGTGTTCTTTGCTAGAATATGAATACCATACGTTGAATACATCATTTGTAAGATGTTCATCAATTGTCTCAGAATTGGCTGTTCCTTTATTTTCATATCAATCACTATCTGTTTGATCTTCTCAATCTTCTGCCGTCTAGCATTTTCACTTTCGATTAGTGTCACATACTACTTATATCTATCGACATAAGTAGTTCACATCATAGTACTAGGATCATGATAGTTTAATTTCCAGCTTATCATCTTTTTACATACCTCGAGCAAACAAAAAAGGATTAAAAAAGAAACAAATAGAACGAGGGGATTTCTTTGCAATCGGTTCTTCATCATGGCTCTACACTAATGGATGTATGTATAGTTTACGACGATACTCCTCGTGGAGGAGCATAGGCCGCCCACCAGCACTTGCCATCCAACCCTGTCCTGGGCAATCCTTTTAAGCTCTTTCCAGTTGTTATTCATGCTTTCCATATCTGTTTCTACTTCTCGATGTAATGTGTTCTTTAGTCTTCTTCTTTTTCGTTTCTTTTCAGGATTAAAATTTAGGGCTTGTCACGTGATGCAGTTTGGTGATTTCCGTAATGTATGTCCTATCCACTTCCATCGTCTTTTCCTAATTTCCTCCTCAGCTGGAAGCTGGTTTGTTCTCTCCCACAGTAGAGTGTTGCTAGTGATATTCGTCCAACGGATATTGAGTATCTTACGTAGACAGCTATTTATAAATACTTGCACCTTCTTGATGATGTTTGTAGTAGTTCTCCAAGTTTCAGCGCTGTACAGTCGAAGTGTGTTTATAGCGACTCACGTGTTAATGGGTTTATTTTCATTTAACCCAGTTAAGCCCTTTTTGTTAACTTATTTAGCGGACAAAGCCATCCGCGCTATAGCAATGTATTGTATCCTTATTATTATTTTGAGCTTGTATGAAATACGTATGCTTGAATATTGATTACTGCCTACGCATTTATTCACTCTGCTAATCTTACCACTAACCGCTTATTCGATTCGATTACTCATTCATTTCACATGGTATATATATATGTCCATGTTATTCATATTGAACACACAATCGCTCACTCGCTCGCACGGTCTCGTCACGCTCTGGCTCTGGCTCTCGTTCGCTTGCTTGCCTTTCGGCACAACTCTCCTATGCTTGTTTAACACATCTGTACATTTGGATATATGTGTGTGGTTTCGCAATAAACGTAATCGACACTTCGTATTTGCCTTCTGATTAATATACCGTTGGTACGTTATATAGAACGGTTATCACGACGAACTGTATACGAAGTTTAAGGATTATATCAAATACCGACCACCACATGTTGACGTTGGTATTGAACACATTGACATTGATGTTGGCTGATGGTTGTTTTTAGTTCCACATGTTCTTTAACTGTAGGAATGCTATCCTTGCTTTGCCAAACCTAGCCTTTACATCTTCATCCGATCTTCCTTATTCATCGATGATACTTCTCAGGTAAGTGAAGGATTCCACATCTTCCAGGGTTTCGCTATCAAGTGTGATTGGGTTGATGTTCTCTGTGTTGTATTTAAGGACCTTGGTTTTCCCCTTGTGTATGCTGAGGCCTACTGATGCAGAGACTGCTGCTACACTAGCTGTCTTTATCTACATTTGTTCGTGTGTATTGGATACGACGGCTAGGTCATCTGTGAAGTCCAAATCATCTAATTGGTTCTGAGTTGTCCGTTGTATTCCGTGTTTTCCCTCAGATGTCGAGGTCTTCATAATCCAGTCGACCACCAGAAGAAAGGGGAAGAGGGAGAGTAGACATCCTTGTCTGACACCAGTCCTTACTTGGAATGCATCTGTCAGCTGTACTTCATACACGACCTTGCACTGTAGTCCGTCATATGAGCTCCGGATAATATTGACAATCTTCTCAGGAACTCCATAGTAATTTACAATAATATTATTCTATATATGCACTGCGACATCATATAATTATTACGCAACACAAATTCCTTGTGAATATTATTTCATTGTGTAGTGAATGGGAACTCAAGTAGATAAAACTAACTTATTGTTCAATGCCCACTGACATCAACATGAAATACATCATGTGCACATGTTCTTTGAATTGTCTCTTGAATGTTTCATTATTTCTTCATTCCTATGATTATCTTGACTGCTTTCAGTCGCTTTGTCTTTTCTCTTCATTTCAATCTTTATAATCTTCTATCGACAGGTATTCCACTACCGACTGATACTATATACTACTTATATCTGCAAACATAAGTAGTATACATTACAATCTTTACAAACACATATTACTCTAGAGCTATGATGAAAAACTAATTTATTACATATTGAAAATAGGAATTTTCACTATAATGAAAGAAGATAATCACTTGAGTAGAGTTCTATTTTGAAGACAAGTTTAAGTAGGGAGGATTTTTGAGCTTATCTGGTTCATTGACCATATAAACTGTTAGTAATATTCGCATCACTTCCTGAGGTTAGCTTTTAGAATTCTTATCTTATCTATTGTTTTGCAATGGTAAGAATTAAGCAGACTGCTCGCAAATCGACTGGAGGTAAGGCACCTTGAAAGCAGCTGGCCACCAAGGCTGAGCTCAAAAGCGCCTTGACTACCTGAGGTATGAAGAACCCACATAGATACAAACCTGAGGTCATTTCCTTCCAAGAAATCTATCGTTACCAGAAGAGTATCGAACTTCTGATTCGTAAACTCCCATCCCAGCGTTTAATGGGTTACTCATAGCCTAGGGTAAGGAAAAATTTTATACCTAGGTTTTGTTTGCATTAAGAAAACCCATACTCCATTTATAATTCCAATGTCTGTTCATTTGATGTTATATATGAACATATAGTTTCATTGGTTGAGAACAGATTACATTGATATGATATTATCTATTCACATTTAATAAAATGATCAATACACCATTAATACTACTTATAATACTACTACTCACTTACCAACAGCAAATCCCAAACCAAACATAGGCGCTATTAAATGTTCCATTCGTTTTGAAAATGGTACCTGGAAACATGATAAACAACCGAATGTTTTTAAGGAATAGAAAATTTTTAAAAACTCATTTAAGCATAGTAACTGTTATTTTCATGCGTTTCTATTGTGCTGTAGTCCAGACTTAATAAGGTTGAGATAAAAAGAAGACTAAAATGAGGAATTTGTTGTATCCGAACGAAGAATAAACGAATGGTAACTTCTAGGATCTAGTTGTGGACTAATATTATACAGATATTCTTATTGTAAGATTATTAAGTAACTATATTATATGTGTATATCCATATTTCTCTTATTATAAGGTTTATTTGATCTATAGACTGTTATTATACGATTTACCGTCCTTAAGTTATGCCCATTCAGATGAATACAATCATTATATCTGAACTATACGATTCCTATAGAGGAGGCTGAGATCGGTGTTCTGGACTTAACAGGCGGAAAAAAGATCATTCAGAACTCTAGGTTACCCGTACTGATGCATGGGTCATTTAGTTTGGTTGTATAAGTCAGTGTATCTTCATTGGCAATTGTGTAACCTAAGAACATAACAGTCATCTAGTGGGAAGCCGTTACCAGTGGAGTACAACCAGGTCTGTTGTGAGATATCAGCTCACTGAAGACAATGGTATATGGTGGCGCAACTTAGTAGATTGGTTGAAGTTAGACATTAACACCGTTGGATGCCGGCTCGGTGGTCTAAGGGTTAAGTGGTCGCGCGCTGAGCCGGTAGGTCCTGGGTCCGAGCCCCGAGTGGTGCGGGGTCGTGGGTGCGCACTGCTGAGGGATCTTTTAATTAATCATAACAAACCCAAATACATTAGAGAGATATTAATAACATTTGCACTGGACATTTAGATGGGTGTATCTATATAGAGAGTAAAGATGGAACCTTCAGGACTAGTTTTCAATAAATGTTTTTTTATTGTCTGGTTATTAAATACTTCAATCATAATTGAATTTTATTGCAAGTTACTCTTTTATTTATTGACTATTATTATATCAGAAAGGGGGTTTTTGGGGAGATTGTAGTAATTTAATAGTTGAATTCATGGATCAATTGAAGCTAGACCACCATGGAAGACGTGGAATCACTGAACGGTGGTTTCGTCCTAGTAAGAGTCTCCTTCATAGTGAGTATCCACGATCCCACACACAGGATGTGAACGTGTTGTAACGTGAAAAAGGGCTGCTACTGATTGAAGGTTGGCGAGCGCGAATTATCGATCGGACCAAAGACGCGTAAACACGTAAGAATGGCCTAGTGTCCTGGTTGGTCCCGCTTCCCTGTCTAGCCCAGCCAGTTGAGTCCAGAACGCAAGTCTCAGCCTAGGATATATGAATCATTATATTTCGAACACACTCTGTTTATATACTAATCAAGCAGACCACATCGTACCATAAAATAGAAAATAACATTGTACAATATTGACCGGTAGGAAAATGACACGTTAAATGAATATTGACCAATGAGGAAATAATACCATCTCCAAGTCCAAGAATAGCATTAGACTTAATAGAATAATTTTCGGGATATTTTTCTGAATATCCCAACAGAACTCAAGATCTTCAGTCGAGCACGCGAACGTTTAACATCTAAACCACTTAGCTAGCATCCAACAGTTCTAATGTCTAACTTCAACCAATCCACGATATTGCGCGACCGTCCACCATTGTTTTCAGTGAGTAACTACCTCACAACAGACACGGTTGAACTCCACTGATCACTGCTTCTCACAAGAACTCCAGAAAATATATCTTGAAGCTAGTCACTAGTGCCCAAATGATAACTGAAGTGATCAAATAGACAACTTAAGTTTAGAATTCTGTCTAAAACTTGCGTGTGAGATTGTGGATGAGCACTGCTGATGAGTCCCGTACTAGAACGAGACGGCCGTACAGGGCTTCCAGGTTTTCCATGATAGTCTGGCTTCAATTGACCCATGAATTCAATTACTGTTATGATATGTTTACTGTCTCCCAATTGTATTTAATTAACTATAGACCTATCAGTCAGTTTTGTACTACTTATAAATTGATTGTGAACACAAAAAAGTCGAGATCATAATTTATAAACGAATCAATGGTATTAAAGATAAAAAGCTTTGTATTCATGAGGTTGAATAACATGCGGAAGATTTTGGTTGGTGTCAGTTCACAATGAAAACCTTAACTGTTAATTTCAATCATAGTTATACACACTAATTAATAACCGATCCTTGATCCTAATAAGTATGTAGAGCTTTTCAGAGTCACTTTAGCGGTTCTTCTTCCTGAAGGAAAATGGAAAAGAGGAAGGCTAAATAATACACTGAGCCGAGAAATGGAAGTAGATATCAAAAGGATAAATAGTAACTATAAACAACTGGGAAGGACTGTCCAGGATAGAGTTCGATGAACGATGCTGGTGAATGGCCTCTGCTCCACCATGAGGGTTAACAGGCGTAAGTAGTGAAGTAAATAAGTAACTTTAGCGTCATTTATTTCTGGTGCATTATGGACATATTACTAATATTTAGACTAATATATAGGACTCACTAGCTAAGTGAATAACGCAATGTTGTTTGGAGCGGATCGTCCTGAGTTCAAGTCTCAGAGTAAACATCAACTCTGAGATTCAGATACATCCAGTTGACTCGTTCTAAATAGGACGAAATGCGTGTCCTAGATTCCACTGCTTGTCACTATTCATCTTTACATCCAATGCTTATGAATTAGGGCTATATTGAGGCAATCCACACAGAAAGTACATATGCCAACAAGAGATTGATCAATCGCAGGATGACAAGAGAGAATAGTGAATAATAAAAAGTTTATCCACTTACCATGTTCACGTTCTAACTAGACAAAAGCTCATTGAATGAATAGACATTAAAATCTACCATTATTCTACTATTAGTCAATTGCACAAGCAAGTGGCTACCAGAATTCAGTAGCAGGGTGGATAACACTATGGCGTTTGAAGCGAATGGTACTGGGTTCGAGTCTCAAAGTGAACATCAAATGTGAAATACAAGTACATCCAGCTGACGAGTTCCAAAAAGGACAAAAACGCGCGGCAATATCGAGGCATACGCACAGTATGCACATATGCCAATAACAGACTGATTAATTGCAGTCTTAAACCTCAATGGGAAGATACAAGCCAAATAATATCAAGTGAATTTATTACTCAATTAGTTATAAAATTCCATTAAAATAACAAACTTACTGCTATTAAACATCCAGTAGTAATTAATAAACCTAAACCTGCACTATATCCACTACCGATTCTATGTGCAATTGGTCCAAATATATTTGTACCAACTAGATATGATAAACTAGCTGGTAGAAATGCAATACCTTGTTGCCATTCTGTAGAATTCATTCTAGTTTTCATCCATAATGGTAAAGTTGGTTCTAATACAGACATACCAAGATTACCAAATGTAATTGAACCTTAATGTGTATAAAATAAAATGAAGAGAAGCAATAAGTGAATGAAAGACTGGGAATATCAATTACCTTAAGATTGTCGATATGTCCAACAGGAGTAAAATGTATCAACCTTCAAATGCTCTGGTACGGTTGAGGGTGAACAGAGTCAGCTCTCTCTCTCTCTCTCTCGAAATGCTCTTACATGGCCACGTGCATACAACCACTGCCAGAGAAGTCCTACTCACTGAGCTCTCGCAAATGGGGGGTGTCGTTTATGAAATTGAGAGGACGAAAAGCGCATGTCCGGAGCTTTAATCGGGTTGGTAGATATGGACGATCCACCTAGGGGAGTCGGTAGACCCTGATTCCAAACCAATAGTGTACATAGGATCAAGCCTTCTGAGGGAACAAATGGCGTTTGAAACAACCGCTAGTGACCGACTACCATGGGACTGCATCTCCTTAAGTTATTTCACTGGATCAGACCTTTAGGTCTAAGGCGCTGGGTGTGGCTCCGTAAGAAACCCATCTGTTTCGGTCTAGGCATCCGAGCAGTATCGCAGCCCACTCACAAATCAAGTGATTTATGCTGTTTATATGTAATCAGCACCCCATTGTTCCAATATTTATGTGTTCAAATATTAATAAACAAGTGAAGTGTATTCTATCTTTGATAGAGTGTGCGGCTACATCTACAGAAGCTATAGTTTCTGATGATGACCTTCATGTGGTTCTTTCTGATCAACTGCTGTCACAGTCTTGTTAATCCTGTCAGCGATCACTTTGTCTATTCACAACAATTGTACACATCAAACTGAATTTCTTATACGAGCATGGTCACATAACGAATGCTCTTATTCTGTCGAAAGATATAACAGTGGTATTAAGAACTGTCTACAGATCTGATGTAGATTCATCATAGTTGTACTGAAAGTCATCGAGGTGGTTAAGTGTGATCAAGTTAAGCCTGAATCTTTTCGATGGAGTAGGTTAAAAAATCATACCCCCATCCAGTGTCTAGAGATGACATGCAGTCTTAATAAGAGTATGGTTACTTTTGGATTTTCATGGTTAAATTTTGTTTACTGGAAAGAATAGATTCTTATCTAAGTTTATGTGGATGTAGAGGGAACACGGACTTATGTTTCCACAGTTAACTGGAACCTGTGTTTCGTGAGTACAATCACTGTCGGCTCGGTGACAACGTCTCAATAAGGGTGATATAATCCAGAGTACCCATGTGTGATGGGTAATAGCTCGTCACTTTCTTAGGACTACAGGGTAAGTAGGATGTGGATTAGTGATTTGGATCCTGTTGTCTAGGGATCTCTTGAGGACCGCCTTCATACGTTTCTCCTATGATATCCTATTACTTCTACAATTGTGTTATGGCCTCATTTAAAAGTAAATTCAGCTAAGCGGATGAGTTCATCAGTTCTCGGGTAACAATGGCACCAACACTACAAATTTTCTTGGTCAGGAAGAGTTTAACACTTTTTAGGAAAGAATGTCGAAACTCAAGATAGAGGGGAAAAATGAATAACTCATGGATCATCTTCCCTGTGACTATCCTGAGCCTCAGTTAAACAATCTGGATACATTATTATGGCTTAGATAAACAACTAATAACTTCATAGAATGATATCACTATCTGTTTTTCTCAGCTGTTTTGAGATAAAGCTTTGATCACATAAAATAAAAAACAAATGACTTATAATTAATATATTAATAAGTAGTATGTGTTATATTTAATCTCAAAAAAGGATTATGTCAACAAATATTGAACTTTCAATGGTTTAGATCATCAGTCAATTGAAGCTAGACCACTATGAAAAACCTGAAAGCACTGGACCGCCTTTTTGTCGTGTTGTGGGACTCCTCAGCAGTGCTCATCTACGATCTCACTCATCGCGGGATCGGAACACAGGGCCTATCAGTCTCGCGGGCGAGCGCTTAATCATTAGACCGTTGAACTGGTCAGCATCCAACGGTGTTAATGTCTAACTTCAACTAATCCACGAAATTGAGCGACACATCCACCATTGTCACCAGTGAGTTACTATCTCACAACAGACCCAATTCGAATCTCACGAGGAGGGATTGTAGATGCCCACTGCCACTGAAGAGTCCTACAATAATATGAAATGGCGGTTCAATGCTTCCAGGTTTTCCACGGTGGTCTAACTTCAGTTGACTAATGATCTCAACCATTCAAATTACTGTAATATCCACAAAACTCCCTTCTGATATAAATATTGAACTAATTAAACATAAACTAACCAGCTGCTACTAAAATATATGGATCTTTTAACAATTCAGTTAATTTTGAACCTTCTTGACTTTCACGTTGAATCTTTGGTTTCAAGACTAACAGTTGTAGAACTAAATGTTGGAAATAAATACAGTAACGCAATATGATTGATATAAACAGAATTATACAAATACAAATATGAACAAAATTATTTATAGGGGAGTTAATGTATTCAACAACTGGAAAAGACTGTTCAGAACCATAGTTGGATGAAGAATCCTGGTTGATGGTCTATGATCCTCTACGAGGAGTAACAGGCGTTAGTAAGTGAGTAAGTAAGTAAGTAAGTAAGTAAATAATGATACTCCGCAGCATTGTGTATTCATACCTCTGATTGTGACTTAGGTCTAACCCTTTAAGTCTAGCTCGCGAGACATTCACGTCGGTAGAGCATTAGATGCAATAAGCCGAAACAATTATCCAATACTGCCTGATATTTGATATTCTTTCTAAGTAGTATCGGTTCTTGATGTACATTATGAACATTTGGTAATCTTTACAATACCTTATGATCATTCTACAATCGTGAATGAACATTTGAACTGATTCTTGTTAGTGATGGTGGTGTTTACTTAGAATTCATGAAGGTTGTACCAGTGTGAAATATTCCAGAACCGACAAGAGTATCACTATTTGGCATTTATGTAGCCATTCCAGATACTTATCGTAGTATCAAACCATAACGATTCAATAGCTATTTGATTTGGCTGCTGATTACATCATCTTCATCATATAGATTTTATTCTGTTGTAATCAATGAGAACATAAGTGCCGGGATAACCAAATGTATTTCAATATACCATTACATAATATGTTGGTTAAAGCTAACAACCATACATTGAATACTTCATTTGCAAATTTGATTATTCCTTCATATCCATATTAATCACTCTTTATTCTCATTCTCTTCTCTTCAATTTTCTCAACTATCTGTTGATAGGCATTCCATTTTCGTTTGTTCTTACATACTACTTATATCTGTTGACATCAGTAGCACACACCGTAGGACAACCAAATGTACTGGGATACAAAATTATAGAGTTATTTGATAAAATGTGAATACCATACGTTAAATACATCATTTGCAGAATATCCATCAATTGTCTCAGATTTGATTGTTCCTTCATTTCCATATTGATTACTCTCTATTCTCATTCTCTTCACATTTCCCAACTTTTTACTGCTAGGGATTCCATTTTCGATTGGTATTACATACTATATACATACTACATACCAAAAACGTGGCGTCAGTCCTTAAAGTCACTAACGTCTAGTCTGAGCCATGTGGGTAGATACAGACTGGTTGGTTGTGGTCCGCGTGACTATCATAACCAATGGTTGGAGACTGCAGGCGGCATGGCTTAGAATCGATCACAATGGCGTAGGTGTATACACTCTCTGTTTTCCTTTAAACGATGAGATTAAAATCACTTCATATCTTTCCTTCTACGAACTAATTCTTTCGTCCCTTACTATATCTTTATATGCAATGTTCCCTTTGTATATTACCACCACTGAATTAACTACTTGTATGAATTTGGTATTGATGCTGTTGTGCTAATGAGGTATGGCAACTTATGTGCCTGATCCTACGTTGAAGTTAACTGACTAACATACTACTTATATCTGTTAAGATCAGTAGCACACAATATATTATGATCATTTATGAATTTTACATAAATACTTATTCTATTATGCAACATTACAAAGTGTACTTTCTAGTTTCCATATCCTTTTTCATTCAACTATGAATAGTCAAATCATAATAGATAACTTCAACTTACTTCCATCAACAACAGTTATACTAGCCAGAATGAGAAATGGTGCTTGTTTACTTATAAACTGATATGTAATTCCTCCATAGGGGGCACCAACTTGAAAAAAGGAAGCACAATATATATAACTAAGAATTAGTCTGTTTTGATATATGAATTGAAATGATTGTTTACAAACACATTGGGAAAATTCCGATTGAATTATACAAAGTATATATTACGTAACAGAGAATCAGGTAACAATTTGATGATTCTATGGAGTGAGTAAAGTGACTTCATCATGTGTGTTGATGGAAACACGGTTCTATAGGCACGACAGTTCACAGAATGTAATTAGGAAATCAATCAATCAATCAATCAATCAATCAATCAATCAATCAATCAATCAACCTATCTATCTATCTATCTATCTATCTATCTATCTATCTATCTATCTATCTATCTATCTATCTATCTATCTATCTATCTATCTATCTATCTATCTATCTATCTATCTATCTATCTATCTATCTATCTATCTATCTATCTATCTATCTATCTATCTATCTATCTATCTATCTATCTATCTATCTATCTATCTATCTATCTATCTATCTATCTATCTATCTATCTATCTATCTATCTATCTATCTATCTATCTATCTATCTATCTATCTATCTATCTATCTATCTATCTATCTATCTATCTATCTATCTATCTATCTATCTATCTATCTATCTATCTATCTATCTATCTATCTATCTATCTATCTATCTATCTATCTATCTATCTATCTATCTATCTATCTATCTATCTATCTATCTATCTATCTATCTATCTATCTATCTATCTATCTATCTATCTATCTATCTATCTATTTAAGTCTTTGTCAACCTGGCTTGTTGTGTCAGTCTTTGTGTTTAGCGACTATCGGGCAGCTTAATTGGTGAATGAATGTTGGTGATATAAGTTTCTATCCTACAGTATAACTGTAATAATTGAAACCTTGTAATACTTGTTACGCCATTCGTTATATTGAATTTACTTGACAGCATATTACATTACTTTCATCATTAACATTATTATAAATATAGATTTACTTACTTAATAACCCTATAGCAAGTCCACTTAAAGCAATAGCAAATGCACGACCTCGTTCTGTTTCATCAATATAATAAGTGGCTAACATTCCCATTCCTATATTATAAGAAGAAATATAAACAACAAGAAGTGAATGATCCATTCACTATTATCATTTTGTCAATATTTACCTTGATTTCATTCTTAAATGTCTAAACTTGAAAATAACATTCAATATCATTCATTGATATATTAGTTTAAGTCTGTTTAGGATTGTATTTGATCAATCTCTCAAAGTGGATATCAACTTTGGAATGGAACTGATGAGTCTTAACTAGGTCGAAACACATGTCATGGATTTCACTGCTAACCACCATCATCTCTGCTTATAGTACTCAATGTATCTTTCTCTTCGTAAAGTTGATTGAATGAGGTGTCATATGAGTTGTTGAATAGTTTGTATATGATGATTATAATTAGTTGTCTTCATCTATTTACTATTTAGGAAGATTAACAAATTTATCAAGAATTATACTTATTCAGTAGTTTAAGAAAAAACACATGATTGCCCCTCTTAATAAGACTGTCATATCGATAGAAATGTGGAGATGTATTCTGTATACATAAGCGCGATCTACCTTAATAAGCAAAGTTCCCTTACGTAAGTGTAGGTTGGTTGTAAGCTAAGAACTCCCATATCATAACGTGGGATCAATTCATGAAAACACTAACGATTGAACTGAGCCGTCTAATTAGATTCAAACAACCTGATTTGGTTCTGTGCTATTATGATCATTAATGGTTAGAGATGTAGGTTAGTATGGCTTATAATCATTCTGAATAGCACATATATACTCAAAATGTTTCTTCACTTAAATATTGAGGTTTAAAATTAACTGACACGTTCCATTCTACTTAATCATTATTTCTTCTCCAATCATATAGTCTACTAACACTGATGCACTAGTATGAGACTCCTCCTCCGCTCCGTGAGATTCGAACCCATGACACAGAGGTCTCGCTCACAAACGCTTAACCTCTAAACTATTGAGCCACCATCTGACGGTTATCATTCAGTCGATACAGTTGTTTGAATATCTCAAGTTAACATTGATTTTTGTTGTGAGATAATCGCTTAAGCACTTTTTAGAAAACTGAAATGTATATATATAAACAGCTTATGAACAAAACCTGTACTGATCACTTTAATATAGCCATTTTAATATAAGTTGTTGATATAGAATAGTTGGGATATGGTCAGTAATGGAAATGAAAACGCATATTTCATCCTATTTGTGAGATTAACTAAGATTGATCAAATTTCAGCAAAGAATATTAGTGTTATGTTCCGACCAGTATAATGAATGGTAACTTTTGGAATCTATCGATGGACTAATACTAAACGTTTATTGCTATTGTATGTTTGAAATATAATGATTCACATCGCAGAAGTTGAGACTTGTGTTCTGGACTTAAGTGGTTGGGCTAGGTGGAAAACAGTGCCAATTAGAACTCTAGGCTGCTCATACGAGTTTACGCGTCATTGATTTGATCGATAAGTCACTGCTGTCTAATTGGCGGTCACAAGATATAACAATGAGCAAGGGAATAATTAAAATTATTTGAAGCTGAATTAAATCGCATACTTATTACACCAATGAGTATTTATCTGAACTCATTAGCTAGTTAGATGATGCAATAAAGTTTAAAGTAAACAGCCCTCGGTTCGAGTCATGGAGAGAATATTAACTGACGAGTCACAAATAGGACGAAACACACGTTCTATATATCCATGCTTGTCTTACTTGATCCATTCTATATCAGTGCAAAATAACATCATATGTATACATTTTACAGAAGATGTAAAATGAAATGTGAGTATTATGGAACTATTAAAGTACATTTGGAGTGTAAATGTACTGGTGTTTAAGCGACCGCGAGCCAAATCGAAGGTCCTGAATCCAAGTCCCTCGTATGGGAACATGTATGTGCACTGCCACCGACGAGTCTTATACTAAGCAGTGACCAGTGGAGTTCAACTGGGTCAGTTGTGAGATAGTAACTCACTGATAAAAATGATGGATGTGTTGCTCAATTTCGTCGACTAGTTGAAGTTAAACATTGACACCATCAGATGATGGCTCAGTGGTTATGATGTTAAGCGTTCTTGGATCGTGAATGCGTTCTATTAAGAAGTCTTATACTACGACGAGACAGACGTCTACTGATTCTGGGTTTTCTATAGTGGTCTAACATTCATCAATTCATGAATTCAACTATTAAATGACTACAAATCATCACAAAACTCCTTTTCTGACAATAATCTCATAAGTGAAAAAGAGATATATTCAATGACTCGTTAAATGTTTCAATGATTATCTAGATTCACCGAAATCTATGATATGAATTTATTGTGGAACGCGGTGTGGCTACGCTAATTTCTACCGACTAACCAACTTCAGATATCCCACTCCGACCCCAATACTGTTCCCCAACAAAATTGTTACCATGTCCACATTCCATAATGTATATAACTTACCGGATACAGATGAACATGCTGATCCAACACCTTGAATAGCTCTGGCAATCAATAAAATGTAGAAATTTGTTTCAAAAGCAAAAACTATAATAAAATAATGAAATGAACAAATCATCTATTGATTAAATAAAACAAAGATTGTTATATTATAAAGAATTCAATGTGATCTTGTTTAAAAAATGTGTATTAAAAGTTTTGTGGTTTCTATACTACTTATATTGATAGATATAAGTAGTATGTAGTAATAATCGGAAATAGGAATAGATGACTAATATCGAAGTCAGAATATTCAATACAAATGTCAACACAGTTCTACTGTATGGGGGGGAAACCTGGAGAACTATGAAAGCTTTCATTCAGAACATACAAGTGTTTATTAACAGTTGTCTACGCAAAATACTTCGGATCTGTTGGCCAGATACTATCAGCAACAAACCACTGTGGGAGAGAACAAACGAGATTCCAGCGGAGGAAGAAATCAGGAAGGAGCGCTTGAAATGGATAAGACACATATTGAGGAAAGCACCCAACTGCGTCACAAGGAAAGCCCTCACATGAAATCCTCAAAACCGAAAGAGAAGAGGAAGACCAAAGAAGAACACGTTACACCGAGAAATGGAGAAAGACATGAGACGAATGAGCCACAATTGTATCGAACTAGAAAGGAAGGCCCAGGACGGAGTGGGATAGAGGATGCTGGTCGGCGGTCTATGCTCCACTGGGAGTAACAGACGTAAGTAAGGAAGGAAGGAAGGAGGGAAATAGGAATACCTGTCAACGGAAGATTGAATTGAAGTGAGTAAGAAGAGAAATAATGAACGATTCTAATAACAACAGAATTGGAAGTATCATAAAACACATGCAGAACAAAGGAGGGACGATGTACAAATAATGTAGTTAATCCATAGTTTTCATCTATACTATGGTACTCTTTAATTTTGTATAAAACAAAATTCAGTTTACCCTACGACGTTTCTTATTCATTCCACTAATACTCACATCAATGTTTTTATCACTACAAACAATAACACTGCCAATAATAATCCAGTGAAATTCATTTCACCTTGATCAATTCTATTAAATTATATACATAATCAAATATGGATGGTGATTAGTAGTGGGATTTAGGTTGCGCGTTTCGTTCTATTTGGGACTCATCAACTGCGTGTACCTGCACCCGAGTTGGTATTCGCACTGAGACTCGAACGTAGTACCTTTCACTTCAAACGCTATCGATACTGGGTTCGAATTCCAGAGTGTATATCAACTCTAGGATGCACCTACATCCAGAGTGTTCTGGATTCCACTACTAGTCACCATCTATCTCTACTCATAAAATTCTTGTGAATTAAAGCAACATCAAAGCAATCCACACATGATACACCAACAAGAGACTGATCATCAATTACAGTTCTAAACAATAATGGAAACATACAAGCAAACAATACCAAATGAAGCTTCAATTGACCTATGTATTCAATTATAACATTACAAATGTATATGCATATATAAGAGACTACGATAGAAATCTAAATGGAAACTTACTAATTATTGATATAAACAAGAGTATGAATCCAGTAAACATTGGAATACTATAACCAATTCTATTCAACAAAAAATAAACAAACAAATTCATGGATTACAATGATAAATAAAGAAAGTTGACTTCATAAACAATCACTGAATCCATGATCGATATCCAATAATGTTAATGTATCAACTTCCATCAACTACTAATGACTGGCTTCAAGAGGTATATCCTGGAGTTCAAGTGACCAGTGGAGTTCAACTAGGTCTGTTATGAGATAGTAACTCACTGATCACAATGGTAGATATGTTGCTTAATTTCGTGGATTAGTTGAAGTTAGACATTAACATCTATAGGATGCCGGCCCAGTGGTCTTGTGGCTAAGTGCTCGCGCGCGAAACCAGTAGGTCCAGGGTTAGAATCGCGCAGGGGGCGAGGTCGTAGATGCGCACTGCTGAGGAGTCCCACGGTAGGACGAAACAGCTGTCCAGTGCTTCCAGGCTTTCCATGGTGGTCTAGCTTCAAATGTCTCACGATTTTAGCCATTGAAATTACTATAATATCCACAAAACCCATCTGATATTAATCAATGAATACTTGATTGGTATCCAATAATGTTAATGTATTAACTTTCATCAGTTTATGATACTGTACGATCGATCATCTTCCATTTTGTTCAATGAGTAACTGCATATGACACCGATGACCTTGGGTTCAAGTTCTAAGTGTGAGATGGTGAATGCGCATTGTTGAAGAGTCTCATACTAAGACAAAACAGCCATCTATTGCTGCTAGGTTTTCAATGATAGTCTAAAATTGAACAGTTTATGATCTTAATGAAATTCAACAATCTTCACAATCCTATGTTGATAATCACTGAACAAATAGGAAGTATTGAATAGTTGTTTATTCTAGAAATATGAGTCCATTGAACTTTCCTCTTTGAAATTATTAATGATTGTTTAGCTTAAATTAATCAGTAGTATACTAAGTGAAGCTAGTAAGTATTGTGCTTGAAGAACATTATTGAAGTTGATAATTCTATGTTTTACAGCATGAACTAATCTTAGCAAGAGAATCATTGTAGGCCAGGAAGCATTGGATAACCGTTCCGTTCTAAGCGAGGATGGATAGTGGCTAGCAGTGTAATCCAGTTTGACACGCGTTTCGTCCTATTTGAGACTCGTCATCTGCATATACCTGGATCTCAAAGTTGATGTCTACTCTGGAACTCGAACCCAGTACCGTTCGCTTCAAATGCCACCGCCTTATCCACTTAGCTACTGAGTCCTGATAGCCGCTTGCTTGTGCAACTGTGTCCTAGATTCCACTGCTGGCCACTATCCATCTTTTCTTATAATGCTTGCAAATTAAGGCAATATCGAGGCATTACGCACAGTATGCACATATGGTTCGTCCTAGTATATTCTGTGACTAGTAGAGTTCACTTATTCTAAGGATGAGTCATTTTTCCACCAGTCACACTGTATTATTATTATTATTATTATTATTACTATTATTTATTAGCTTTATTTAGTATCATATTTTTGGTACAATATAGAATTCTCAGCGTTAAGTATTTCAACAAGTTTCCGTTTCTTTCTTCTTGATCGGTCCTCGCGATAAATACTGAGTGATCGCTAGCTAGATGTTAACAGTCCAGTAAATGAACATCTGAATAATGTACATTCTTTTCGTTGTATATTGCCAGCAACAACATCCTCTCTTTTTGAGCTTTTTGTAACTTTGACAACGAAAGGTTGTACACTTTTCAGAAACGCAGCACAATAGGTTATGCGATTAATAGACATAATGATATATTAAAACAAACAAAAACAGATAACTTGTTGAAATATCTAGATGGCAGGAACAGGTAGCCAAGATGCTCAAGCAGGCCGTCTTGATTATTACCCTTTATCGTGAATTGATGAAAGTTAAATGAGTAAAATAAAAACTATTATGGCACTCCAAAGCAGTATACAATCACGATCCCACCACTCAAGATTCGAACCCATAACCTATCAATCTCATGCACGAACGCTTAACCTCTAGACCATTGAACCAGTATCCAAAGTTCATGTACGAGACAAAAAGTCCTGTATTCGAATCATACAAGTGGGATCGTAGATTCACACTGCTATGGAGTCCCATACTACTTGAACAAGTTGATCGTCCAGTACTTCAATGTCTTCTCTTTTTGTTTATCTTCTTCATTCATCGATTAGTCCGTTGATTAGACATCAATTACTATATTTAGCAAATATATTACTGTAAGACATCAATATAATGACCTATCTTCATCATAGATATTTCATTCAAATATTCTATAGAATGTCTTAGAAATATAGACTATTAAACATTTCAGATGATTCTAATCAATCATTTAAAGGTGTTAAAATCTATCGATTATCATAATGACAACCAATATTATTGTAACTAAGGTAAATAGTCAAACAAAAATGAGACATAGTTGATTTACATATGTAAGTGAATAAAATATGATTGGTACAGAAGAATAAATCGATTCAGGGTCTTATCAACTACTTAAAATAGACATTGATATACTTGTAGTAACTACAATAGTGATTCATGATGAATAGATGTATTAGGATATAAGAAAGATTCCAATAGAATTCATAAAGTAACTAAGTGGATCATGTGATAAGGGTTTTTGAAGTAAACAGTATTGAGTTCGAGTCCTGGAGGGAACATCAATTCAAATGAAGGTATAATCAACTGATAAGTGGAGAAGATTTGTAGCTCAGGTGGATGATTTTAATAAAGTTTTGTTCTTTGAAGTTTTCGTCCTTACTTATATCAATCCATGTGGACAATTGTGGACACTCATTTGACTGGAAAAATGTGGAAATCTTGAATAGAGAAAATTCCAAAAACACCAATGAATTTTTAGAAGCTTAGCACTCAAATCAATCAGCAATCAATAAACACATTGAAATCGATCCAATTTATCAACCAATCAGGAAAATTATTCACAAACATAGTAACAGAAATCAAACCAGTAGGGGGGGGGTACAACCAAAACAAAGAAGTAAATAATGACACGTTTAAGGCGGATAAGAATCAATCAACATTGAGGTGTACAGGACAAGCTGTGAACCACATATCGAGAAATTCGAACACTTCACTTCTGCATGACGTTTGTGCTGATGATATCGTTCAGAAGAACGATGAAAGCTGGTGGGGTTTTGTTCTCTGAGCTGGATTGTTTGGTCAGAGAACAAAACCCCACCAAAATCATCCACCTGAGCTACAAATCTTCTCCACGATGAAAGCTCCACGACTAAACCATGCAGCTCAGCGAACAAAACTCCATCAATTGATAAGTCCAGAAAAGAATGAACTCCGTGTTATGGATAGAAATCTGTCAAAAGTGACCAGTAAATTACAGACTTAACATATCAATCGAACGATTCAAATAACTAAGGGACTCATTGGTTATGTATGTACTTAAAAACTTACATGGTAGTTTTTAACTAAACTGTCTTGTAAAGTTTTGAACAACTTCTTAGCAGTGTCCATCTATAACCGCCATACCTTTCAAAATACTCATTGTTTGTGAAATAGCAACTTGTTTGATATGTGTCGCTATTGTTTAAAACATTCCTGAACGTTCTAAAGAATCAAGCTGTTCAGTCTCGTCAGCTGTCTTGTATTATACCCTTTTCTTATGATTCTACTGTTGTCCTCCGAAATGGTCATATTGAATTTCATGAAGAATTCGAACCTTGATGTTTATGCATGATCTGTCGTGGACATCTAATACAAGTGAAAAACAACTTATGAACAATCACTGAAAAGTGTCTAACTGTACTGTCATGAAACAACATCTATCCCTCAACATTTGTTGAATTTAGTTCATTATAATTTTACAGGTTTCTGAGGAACACTAACAAGAAAGTGACATCATTGATGAACAAGGTGGATCTGATGCAGATTTGAAGGCTCAGGTCGACAAAACAAGCGCAGAACATCTATAATCGAACAATATTTCGAACTCAAAACAACTGTCTGTCAACCAACAACAAGGTCAGGATTTTCAATACAAATGTCAAGACAGTTCTACTGTATGGGGCAGAAACCTGGAGAACTACGAAAGTCATCATCCAGAAGATACAATTGTTTATTAACAGTTGTCTACACAAAATACTCCGGATCGGTTGGCCAGACACTATTAGCAACAACCTATTGTAAAAGAGAACAAACCAGATCCCAGTGGAGGAAGAAATCTGTAAGAAGTGCTGGAAGTAAATAGGACACATATTGAGGAAAGCATCCAACTGTGTCACAAGACAAGCCGTCATCACATGGAATCCTGAAGGCGAAAAGAGGAGAGGAAGACCAAAGAACAAATTAAGCTGAGAAATGGAGACAGACATGAGAAGAATGAACAAGAATTGGATCGAAATAGAAAGGAAGACTCAGGACAGAGTGAGTTGGAGAATGCTGGTCGGCGATCTATGTTCCATTGGTAGTAACAGGCATAAGTATGTTAGTAAGTAGTAATTTAATAGTTGAATTCATGGATCAATATAAACTAACCCACTATGCAAAACCTGAAAACACTAGAAAGCCTTTTTCGTCTTAGCATGAGACTTATCAATAGTACGCATCCACGATCCAAGAACGCTTAACATCATAACCACTGAGTCATCATCTGATGGTGTTAATGTTTAACTTCAACTAATCGATGAAATTGAGCAACACATCCATCATTTTTATCAGTGAGTTACTATCTCACAACTGACCCAGTTGAACTCCACTGGTCATTGTTTATTTCCATGCTAAATGTCATCAATTTCGATGAAATTTTGTTCTCTGATGTAAATAATCTGATCATGTAGCTTTCATCGTTCTTCTAAATACCATTCTCAGCTAAAACGTCAGATGATCCTATCATTCAAAGGAACATTGACAGCTCCATAATCAAACTATTCAACTCAAAGTATAAAAACTTTATCAAAATTATCCACCATCTCCTTAAATAGCATCAATTTAGTTTCTTATTATTAAACACTAAAAAATAAAATATCAAACCTAACACATACATACTACTTTTATTTCAACGATATCAGTAGTATATATACATATATATACATACATACCTGTTAGTAATTGGACCAATAAATGGATTCACCAAGAACTGTACAAGTGGTTTAACAGTAAATAGTATACCAATTTTAATATGTGGATTATAATTATCAATGGTATGAATAGTTGAATGGGAACAATTCCCATGGGTACAATTAGTTTCTATTAGTTCTTTATTTATTAATAATTTAGGTATAATTGGAACTGTAAAAGAAAATAAAAGAAAGTAAATATAAGATAATGGAAATTATTCTATATGGGAAACATTAGAACAACATAATGAATCAATAAATGGATGGCTGTTTCGTCCTTTTGTAGGATTCTTCAGTGGCAGTACGCATCTATGATTCCATCTCATGAGATTCAAACCTAAGACCTATCAGTATTGTTTGGTGTTAACAGGTTTTCTATGGTGATCTAACTTCAATTGACTTATGATCACAACTATTGAAATAAGTTATTTGTTTTTCTTATTGTAACTGATTAGTCTCTTGTATATGTATATACTGTGCGTTACTTACTTACGCCTGTTACTCCTCGTGGAAGAGCATGGATCCAACATCAGAGCTCTCCATCCAACCCTATTCTGGGAAATTCGTTTCAACTCTTTTCAGTTGTTATTCATCTTTTTCATATCTACTTCTATTTTCCGACGTAATGTGTTCTTTGGCCTTCCGCTTTTCTGCTTCCCTTCAGGATACCAAGTTAGGGCTTGCATCATGATGCAGTTTGATGATTTGCGTAATGTATGTCTTATCCATTTCCATCATTTTTTCCTAATTTCATTTTGCAGATGGAAGCTGGTTTGTCTTGTCCCACAGTAGGTTGTTACATCCAGCTAACGGATATTATCTTATGCAAACAACTATTTATAAATAATTGTACCTTCTTTATGATGGTTGTGTTTGTTCTCCACGTTTCAGCGTATTACATCGAGATTGGCTGAATTCACAAGCACTGGGTTCTAATCTCAGAGTGAACATCAACCTGAGATGCAAGTACATCCAACTGACAAGTACTGAATCGGACGAAATGAGTGTACTGGATAACACTGTTTGCCACTTCATATAAAGGTTTGTCTAGCCTGAAGATTTATATATAGCGATAAGTTGTAATTGGGAATTAGTATCAGGACTATAGATAGTGTAAGACTTCATTGTTTCATATATAATGAAAGAAAGAACAGTGATTAAGCTATACAACGTTGAACTACTCTGTTCCAAGTTCGAAACCCATTACATATACTTAAGCTTAAAACAGTTGAGTAGTATTATTAGAAATCACAGAAACAATGTCTTTCATATTAGGTGACATCAATGTGTAGATTATTTGAGAACAGTTTGAGAACAAATGACATAGAGAAGTTATAAAACATGTTTTAAAACGATCTTTTAAAGTAAAATGCTTTATATCTAAGATGGTTTGTAGCTATCACTAGAATTCAGGATGCGCGTTTCATCCTATTTAGAACTCGTCAGCCGGATGTATATGCATCTCAGAGTTGACGTTCATTCCACAACTCAAATCCATTACCGATCGTATCAAACACCATCGCGTTATACAGTTAGCTACTATGTCCTTATAAAGCTTATGACTTAAGACAATATCGAATCAATCCTTACAGGATGCACCTATATCAACAAGAGACTGATCAATTGTAGTCCTAAATACAACAATGGGAAGATATAAGTCAACAATACTAAGGGCTTTTACATTTTAGTTGAGTTGAATACACTTCTTTGATATAGTTCAAAAACTTGTCAAGGTTAGAAATAGATTCAGACGTTCCGAAATCGTAATGCATATGATAGAGAAACTCATCTTTATGGGTTCATAATAGTGGGCATCTTAAGCCAAAATAAGGTTTCCAAAAACCGTTTCAGCCTCGGCCACATAACTTCAATATTGTTTGTGTGCACTCTGGTTGTTGGGTTCACAAAATGCCGCTTGTGGCTAACAACACGATGCACATAACCAAGTCTATGTAGGCATCTGTACACTGTTCAATCATCCGTATATAATGTAGAACACGGCTGCATATATTCCCGTATAATTGGTATTATCGTTATAGTCTGTCGGTATCTAACTTGTTCAAAGTGTACCTTTTGAGATTACCTGTCGTATATTTCAAGGACCTATGAGGTATATTTATGCTACTTACCCAGTCTTCTTTAACAATACGTCGTCTGTTTAATTTTCGTTTCCTGACAACGATTCTCCCGACTCTCTTAAACGATTTGTGCTGGCTTGTCATTTTTACTGCGCATATATGTCTACAATACTCATACTACTGAACAGCCGAAGCTTCAGTAACATCTGCAAATGTTGCAGCCAATGTTACTGGTATCTTTATTATCCAGTTCGTCTTAGTCTCAATCTGTATGGAGCAAAAAAGTTCTTCTTCTAACAGAATTCTTCCTCCAACAAATACTACATCGAAACACAACATCATTACGGTAGTCTGCACAAGGTTCACAAGTCATTTGATTACCACAATCACAAACAAAGGAATTTTTTAGTAGTCTTATTTGTTGTAGCCAGTCAATTATCATTTTTTCTCTAAATTCTGCTGTAAACCGATCGTATATGAGTATCAGGTACTGAAGTTGGCTCCGTGGACTTGAAATCCCTCAAATGTATCTGACCAGCTCGTCCATAAATTATAGTTTCGCCGCTTATTTTAATACAGATAGACACCACATTTAAGTGCATGAAGAAAACGTCACAGTTCCTCTTTTCATCGTCAAACATTTTAAATGTTTGTCAACTGAACAACTTAAAAAAGCATCATTGATGTTCTGATATATCAAGCTATTTGTTATGTTATAGTGAACAAGAACACCATTAGAGACAACCAAATGGCTATCAACACAATATTACAGAACATCTTAGTAAAATCTGAGAACCATACAGAACCATACATTCTCTATTCTCGTTCTCTTCTCTTCGATCTCCTTAATTGTCTGCAACTAAGCATTCCATTATCTATTGGTGAAGTATACATACTATTTATATCTGTAGACATCAGTAGCACCCACCCACACACCACAATATGATCAGAGAAGACATTTAAAACTACTGAAATATGAATATGAATAAATAGCCTTATGGATATCGATAATTATCTATATACTGTCATCTTGAGTCAGTTTGCAGCAAGAACCTATATGAAATAATTGAATGAAGCTACTGTATAAATAGTGATCATAAATGATGATGATGATGATGATGATGATGATGATGATGATGATGATGATGATGATGATGATGATGATGATGATGATGATGATGATGATGATGATGATGATGATGATGATGATGATGATGATGATGATGATGATGATGATGATGATGATGATGATGATGATGATGATGATGATGATGATGATGATGATGATGATGATGATGATGATGATGATGATGATGATGATGATGATGATGATGATGATGATGATGATGATGATGATGATGATGATGATGATGATGATGATGATGATGATGATGATGATGATGATGATGATGATGATGATGATGATGATGATGATGATGATGATGATGATGATGATGATGATGATGATGATGATGATGATGATGATGATGATGATGATGATGATGATGATGATGATGATGATGATGATGATGATGATGATGATGATGATGATGATGATGATGATGATGATGATGATGATGATGATGATGATGATGATGATGATGATGATGATGATGATGATGATGATGATGATGATGATGATGATGATGATGATGATGATGATGATGATGATGATGATGATGATGATGATGATGATGATGATGATGATGATGATGATGATGATGATGATGATGATGATGATGATGATGATGATGATGATGATGATGATGATGATGATGATGATGATGATGATGATGATGATGATGATGATGATGATGATGATGATGATGATGATGATGATGATGATGATGATGATGATGATGATGATGATGATGATGATGATGATGATGATGATGATGATGATGATGATGATGATGATGATGATGATGATGATGATGATGATGATGATGATGATGATGATGATGATGATGATGATGATGATGATGATGATGATGATGATGATGATGATGATGATGATGATGATGATGATGATGATGATGATGATGATGATGATGATGATGATGATGATGATGATGATGATGATGATGATGATGATGATGATGATGATGATGATGATGATGATGATGATGATGATGATGATGATGATGATGATGATGATGATGATGATGATGATGATGATGATGATGATGATGATGATGATGATGATGATGATGATGATGATGATGATGATGATGATGATGATGATGATGATGATGATGATGATGATGATGATGATGATGATGATGATGATGATGATGATGATGATGATGATGATGATGATGATGATGATGATGATGATGATGATGATGATGATGATGATGATGATGATGATGATGATGATGATGATGATGATGATGATGATGATGATGATGATGATGATGATGATGATGATGATGATGATGATGATGATGATGATGATGATGATGATGATGATGATGATGATGATGATGATGATGATGATGATGATGATGATGATGATGATGATGATGATGATGATGATGATGATGATGATGATGATGATGATGATGATGATGATGATGATGATGATGATGATGATGATGATGATGATGATGATGATGATGATGATGATGATGATGATGATGATGATGATGATGATGATGATGATGATGATGATGATGATGATGATGATGATGATGATGATGATGATGATGATGATGATGATGATGATGATGATGATGATGATGATGATGATGATGATGATGATGATGATGATGATGATGATGATGATGATGATGATGATGATGATGATGATGATGATGATGATGATGATGATGATGATGATGATGATGATGATGATGATGATGATGATGATGATGATGATGATGATGATGATGATGATGATGATGATGATGATGATGATGATGATGATGATGATGATGATGATGATGATGATGATGATGATGATGATGATGATGATGATGATGATGATGATGATGATGATGATGATGATGATGATGATGATGATGATGATGATGATGATGATGATGATGATGATGATGATGATGATGATGATGATGATGATGATGATGATGATGATGATGATGATGATGATGATGATGATGATGATGATGATGATGATGATGATGATGATGATGATGATGATGATGATGATGATGATGATGATGATGATGATGATGATGATGATGATGATGATGATGATGATGATGATGATGATGATGATGATGATGATGATGATGATGATGATGATGATGATGATGATGATGATGATGATGATGATGATGATGATGATGATGATGATGATGATGATGATGATGATGATGATGATGATGATGATGATGATGATGATGATGATGATGATGATGATGATGATGATGATGATGATGATGATGATGATGATGATGATGATGATGATGATGATGATGATGATGATGATGATGATGATGATGATGGATGAAGCAATGAAGATGGATGCTTTCAGTATGTAGTTCAATGTAATTCAATCTTATCAAAGACAACACAACATGATTTCATAACATCATTATACCTTTATTATTGTTACACTTGTATGAATCTGTATGATTGAGTATTGCTTACTGCCGACGTATATATTCTACTATTAGTCGCTTAAGTGATTTCCTTACGTGCATATATATGTTGGTGAGACTATAATTTATGGACGACTTTCAAGAGACGTCAGACTGACTTTGAGAGTATCCACCTAGAAACTACGACCAAATGATGGGTATAAACCATTGTAGGGAATTCGAATGATGATTTAAAGTTGATAATTAGGAGTTAGAAATTAGATTTAGGGTTTTCCTTACAAACTGACATCAACTGTAATACCAAAACTGTATTTATCCAAATGAATGAAAATCCAAGACCCATTATCATATACGGCTGATTAGTTCATCCACAAATTCTAGTCTCACTTATATGTACATTTTATTCCCATACAGTTTGACTCACGAACTTGTTCACTCATTCGATTGCTTTTCGACATTCATCTTTCATTCTTATCTTATGTATCTATGGTTTTGATAATCTGTACTTTATGCCATAATAAATACAATCAACAATTTGTACTTTTCTTTTCTAATTTGTACATCGTTTGACGACATTATCTAATAACATTTTATCAGGATGAACTATTTATGAAGTTTAAGGATCATCATTAACGGAGGAAGAAATCAGGAAGAAACTCTCTGGAAGTGAATAGGATATATATTGTAGAAAGCACCAAATCGCATCACAATACAATCACTCATCACTTGGAATCCTCAAGACCAAAGACCACATTACACCGAGAAATGGAGACAGGCATGAGAAAAATGAACAAAAATTGGACAGAACTAAAATGAAAGGTCCAGAACAGAGTGATATTGGGATAATCAGAAAAATATTTCAAAAAATTATCTTGTTAAGTCTAATGCTATCCTTGAACTTGAAATGGTATCATTCCCCTATTGATCAATCTTTATTTTATGTGTCATTTTCCTGTTGGTCAAATGTGGTCTATTTGATTGGTATATAAACAGAGTATGTTTGACATATAAGGATTCATATTGCAGAGGCTGAGATTGGTGTTCCGGACTTATCTCACTGTGCTAGGTGGAAAACATGGTTAACCAAAACTCTAGACTGTTCATACGAGTTTACTTGTATTTGATCCGAACGATAAGTCACTGGACATTAATCGGCGGTCACAAGTTATAACAATATGAACTCGGAAAAATTTAAATCCGGATATCAACTCTGGATCTTCAAAAAAAAACGGGAGATGATATGATGGAAAGAAAAATCAATTTTCGATTGATTTACTCATTATGAGTTTTTATTCAACATTACTTCCATTTTGATTCAATGTAATGATTACTCAATGTAGTATTCGGTTTTCTTTTCCCAGTATGATATTTTCTTCTGTATGATATGTGAGATATTCTTGTATTCAATGGACATGAACTATGCTCAGTAAGTGAGTTATTATAACTGAGTATGTGATGTAATCCTAATTATTAATCAAAAATGGGTGTACAATCAATATATAAATGAGTGTATTTTCTACTAGAGTCGTTGTCGTCGTTGTGTTTTGAGAGGTTAATAAATCATCACTTAGACCAGTCTTTGTCTTCTAACTTTCGCATCATGGGAATTGCAAGGGACCTTCGTTCCGAATATAAGTGACTAGCGACATTTTCCGGCATAATAATTGCGACGACCAGATATAACAAGTCAGTTGGAGAATACCGGTTAGTGAGATGGTGGAGAAGATTTGTAGCTCAGGTGGATGATTTTGATGGAGTTTTGTTCTCTGAGCTGGATGGTTTGGTCGTGGAGCTTTCATCGTTCTTCTGAACGACATCATCAGCACAAGCTTCAGATAGAAGTGAAGTGTTCGATTTTCTTCACTTCTATCTGAAGCTTGTGCTGATGATGTCGTTCAGAAGAACGATGAAAGCTCCACGACCAAACCATCCAGCTCAGAGAACAAAACTCCATCAAAATACCGGTTAGTAACCTATGCTCCATTGAGAGTAACAGTCGTAAGTAAGTAAGAGTAATTACATAGAGATTACATAAGATTATTACATCAATACAGCTATATATAGATATACATAAGTGATTAATAATAACTTACCAATAGTAGTTAATAATACATTATCTAGAAGTAATGCAATAAATACAATAATCAATATTGTAGTACGACTTCTGATACAATTCAGACAACTACTACTCATATTGGTTACTTTATTGATTTGATCATCTTGAGTTATATTCATGGTAGTTTCCTCTTTCATTATGGTATCTATGATGTAAAATAATAATAATAATAATAATCAGTATGATTTGAATCAATTATGATCCATATTCATAGAAAGTTACTATGTCATTAATCCTTATTGATAAGAATAGAATTGATATAAGTTAATAAGTATACTGTTCATTTATAGAGATTATGTAATAGGTAATCAGCTTATGATTATATAAGAAGGTTTATATATAATGATAATCGGATCATTTATATATCACTATGCTACTACTTATGATCATGATCATGATCATGATCAATCATATTAGAAAACATCACGTAATTCATTACCATGAACTATAAGATTCATTCTATAGGTCTACGTTTAAATGAGTTCATCTTTGATTGATTACAATGTGTAAAACTATCGACTACTTTTGTTGTTGTTGTTAAGTGAAATCTATGTATTTGAATGATATCACTATTAGTATATTATAATATATGTATTACTGATATTGATACATATATAAGTAAGAGGTCAGTCGCACCCCGGATAGCTCAGTGGTAATGTCTCTGATTGTGAAGCTGAGTGACACGGGATCGAATCCGTCAGAGAGTACCAGTGCCCTCAAGATTACAGGTACACCTTGCTGATGAGTGCTAAGTAGCACAAAACCCGGGTCCAGGGTTTCCTATTGACTACCTACAACCACCATCTAATCTCAACATATATAAGTAGTATGTATTATTCACTAATAAAAAGTAGATGGTAGAATATAAAGAAGATTGAAGAGAACGGAATGAGAACAAAGAATGATCGATATGGAAACGAAAGAACAATGAAATACGAGACAGTTGATTGAGATTTTACAGAATGGTGTATTTTTTTACTGTATGTTATTCAGATATTTTGTAATGTTGTAATAAAGTAGATTTGGATGTTCTCGTCTGTGTTCTCGTTAACGTTATAAGAATGCGTATAAAACGTGATAATATTTTTAGTTATGATAATAATAATAATGGATAAGGAATATGAAATATTGTGAATTAATTGAAGTTAGACAGCAACACAAATCACAAGGATAAAACCGTGACGGTGGATCTGATGCAGATGTGAAGGCGCAGATCGACAAAGCAAGAGCTGCATATTTACAACTGAAGAACATTTGGAACTCAAAAAAACCAACTAACATCAAAGTCAGAACTTTCAATACAAATGCCAAGACAGTTCTACTGTATGGGGCGGAAACCTGGAGAACTATGAAAGCCATCATACAAAGGATACAAGTGTTTATTAACAATCGTCTACTCGAAATACTTCGGATTCATTGGTCAGACACTATCAGTAACAATCTACTGTGGGAGAGAACAAACCAGATTCCAATGGAGTTAGAAATCAGGAAGAAGTGCTGGAAGTGGATAGAACACATATTGAGGAAAGCAGTCAAATGTATCGCAAGGCAAGCCCTCAATTGGAATCCTCAAGCTCGAAGGAGAAGAGGATGATCAGAGAACAAATTGCGTCGGGAAATGGAGATAGACATGAGACGAATGAACAACAACTAGATCGAACTAGAAAGGAAGACTCAGGACAGAGTGAGTTGGAGAATACTGGTCGACGGCTTATGCTCAATTGGTAGTAACAAGCGTAAGTAAGTATGTCTTGTGTAAATTGCTAAGTAGTTATTTATAAACAGATGAGTAAATTGTCTGCCGACAAAAATAAGACTTTTAGTTTAAATATATCGTCGCGAATCAGTGTTTTTTAACCTGCTTTAAAATATATAATTATTAAGCAATCATGGTGATTGGAAGCATTCGACCGGGAATCCTGGAACTAAGCATCATGATATTTGGCACTCGTCAGTAAGTTATGGCCCCCAAATGCCCTGGTACGGCCGGGAGTGGGGAGAGTCCGCTCTCCCTTTCGAAATGCTTTCACATGGTTACACGTATATAGCCTCTGCCAGGGAAGTCATACTCACTGCCTTCTCGTGGCAGGGGTGTTGTTTACGAAAATGAGAGGACGAAAAGCGAATGTCCGGCGCTTTAACCAAATTTCAAACCAATGGTGCGCATGGGCTCCAGTATCCTGAAGGAACAAATGACGTATGAACCAATTGTTGGTCACCGGCTACCATGGGACTGCATCTCCTTACGATCCTCCACTGCCTTGTGGACCAGACCTTCAGGTCGAAGGCTCCGGGTGTGGCTTCCTAAGAAAACCACCTGCTTCGGTTTGGGCACCCGGGCAGCATCACAGCCCTCACACATATCGAATGAGATTTGTGTGGCGCATATGTATTTGGTGCCTCCTTGTATTAGTATATATGTTTTAAAATAAATAAATAAACAGTAAGTTATATGTGTAATCTGAAGGGCATTGATGCTCCTTGGCGAATTCGACTTTGAGTTACACAGCTTCACAGTCGAAGACTACAATTGAACTGTTCAAGACATAAATGACATCATGTAACACTGAGATATATTTAAAATTGGCTGAACATTAAATACTAACAAATCAATGATATTTCAGGAGTCAACAAACGGTTAACTACTCCTAACCGTCTTAATTTTAAATGTAATGTATGTGACTTCCAGTCACTTTGAATGGTAACAACATAACAACTTGATCAATGGAATTCGGTGAGTACTGAATCAGTAGATAGGCATAAGATTAGTCATTACTCAGTGTTCATTGAATTAGTGTAAGAATTTTAAGGAAATATTTGGATTTTTATAGTTTTCTTCTTGGACTGGTATTGGTTAGACAACCATTGAAAATCAGGGAGTACTGGACAGATATCTCGTTCCATCATGAGTCATATCAGAAGATCTAAACCACGATCATATAGGGCATGGAACCCAGGACCTTTTTATCTAGCGACACGTGCTTAATATTAAGACTAATGGGGTCGTACCACTGGTTTATATATCTAACTTCAGTCATTGTATGAAGTATTGACTTTCTCATCGTGAAGCGCTTACTCATTAATGTTAGTAAAAGATGGTTGCACAATACTGAGAATTGATCGCAGTTAGAAAAGGTAACCATTTTGACATCGTATAAGTGATCATACGATTAAATGTTCATCTGAGGATCTTCAGATCTTGAGTTTTATACCCTATAGAGTCATGGTTTCAATCTTCCGATGTGATGGATATCAGGACGTAATGTCTGTCAAATGCTTCCTAGTTTTCAATGATAATCTAACTGAAATCAGTTCTAAGTGCAAACTATGTTCATCAGCTATAATAAACGAATTATTATATCAATAGTTGAGATCATGAGTTAAGTGAATCTAGACCACCATGGAAGCACTGGATGACCGTTTCGTCCTATTGTAGGACTCCTCGGCAGTGCGCATCCACGATCCCTCCTTGCGGATTACTGTATGTCTATAAGCAAGTTCATATTACAAACGCAATGAAACCAGCTATCTAACTGGACTTTCAATAAAATTAAAACTAATTTTCCTTAGAAACTAGTGTCACTTAGAAAAATCATCAGTAATATATTGAATCGTGCTTTATAATACACACGTAATCATAAACAGTATCAATGGGTTTAAATACAAGGTATCATATAGACTTTCCTCCTAGTGTCATTGTTACATTACTGAATGTCAACTGTACCAATAACCTTGGTTACAGTTAATCACAAAGACGATGTAAGCATTCCATCACCTACACAGTTTCTATTTACTTACTTACTTACTTACGCCTGTTACTCCCAATGGAGCATAGGCCGCTGACCAGCATTCTCCAACCCACTCTGTCCTGGGCCTTCTTTTCTAGTTCCATCCAATTCTTGTTCATTTTTCTCATGTCTATTTCCATTTCTCGGCGTAATGTGTTCTTTGGTCTTCCTCTTTTCCTTTGACCTTGAGGATTCCATGTGAGGGCTTGTCTTGTGACGCAGTTGGGTGCTTTCCTCAATGTGTGTCCTATCCACTTCCAGCGCTTCTTCCTGATTTCTTCCTCCGCTACAATCTGGTTTGTTCTCTCCCACAGTACGTTGTTGCTAATAGTGTCCGGCCAATGAATCTGAAGTATTTTGCGTAGACAATTGTTAATAAACACCTGTATTTTCTGAATGATGGCTTTTGTAGTTCTCCAGGTTTCTGCCCCATACAGTAGAACTGTCTTGACATTTGTATTGAAAATCCTGACCTTGGTGTTGGTTGATAGTTGCTTTGAGCTCCAGATGTTCTTCAGTTGTAAATATGCTGCTCTTGCTTTGCCGATCCGCGCCTTCACATCTGCATCGGATCCACCCTGTTCATCAATGATGCTGCCCAAATACGTAAAGGTTTTTACATCTTCCAAATCTTCTCCGTCAATTGTGATTGGATTGGTGCATTCTATGTTGTATCGGAAAATCCTGCTTTTCCCTTTGTGTATATTGAGACCTATTGCTGCTGAGGCTGCTGCCACACTGTTCGTCTTCTCCTGCATCCGTTGTTGCGTTTGGGATAGAAGAGCCATATCGTTTGCGAAGTCTTGATCATCCAACTGCATCTTAGATGTCCATTGTATCCAGCGCTTCCCTTCAGTTGTTGACGTCTTCATGATCCAGTCGATCACCAGAAGAAAGAAAAAGGGTGAGAGTAAGCAACCTTGCCTGACAACGGTCTTTACCTCGAACGAGTTTGTCAATTGTCTTCCATGAACGATTTTGCAGTTTAATCCATCAAAGGAATTCCGTATGATATTGACTATCTTCTGAGGCACGCCGTAGTATCGAAGATCCTTCCATAGTGTTGTTCTGTCCACGCTATCAAATACTTTTTTGTAGGCAATGAAGTTGATGTAGAGTGATGAATTCCATTCAATTGATTGTTCCACAATGATCCGTAGAGTTGCGATTTGGTTTGTACACGATCTATCCTTACGGAATCCTGCCTGTTGGTCAGGAAGTTGGGCGTCTACACAGTCCTTCATCCTGTGTAACCATACCCTGTTGAAGACTTTTCCCGGTATTGAGATAATAGTGATGCCCCTGTAGTTATCACACATGCTGAAATCGTCTTTCTTTGGCATTTTGATCAGAAGTCCTTCTTTCCAGTCTGTTGGTACTTGTTCCTCATCCCAAATTTTGCTGAAGAGAATGTGGAGTATCCTTGCAGCTGCTGCTACGTCTGCCTTTTGTGCCTCTGCTGGGATGTTGTCCGGTCCTGCTGCTTTGCCACTCTTGATTTGTCTGATGGCCATGCTGATTTCTTCAAATGTTGGTGGGTCAACATTGATTGGGAGGTCCGTGGGTGCTGCTTCGATGTTGGGTGGGTTCAGTGGAGCTGGTCGATCCAAGAGTTCTTTGAAGTGTTCTACCCACCTGTTTTGTTGCTCTTCAATGTTGGTGACTACCTTGCCTTCCTTGCTTTTCACTGGTCGTTCTGGTTTGCAGCGATTTCCAGAGAGTTTCTTTGTCGTGTCAGTTTCTATTTACCATGTATTAATCATGTAACAATGTGATTTAATGAGGAAATGACAGAGATATTTATAAATCATATATGTGGTGTATGCTACTTATAATGCCTGATATTAGTAGTATATAACAGAAATTGAAAATGGAATATCTGTCAGTAGAAGTTTGGTACGTTGAGAACATAGTGGAAATCGGAAAGTAATCCAAATAATAACGAAATTCAAAGGAATAGTGAATTGTATAAAGGACAATGCAAAGAAGTTGTACAAATAATGTATTCAATGAATGATTTCCATGTATATTTAAAAAGTACCGTGGGTTTTATTAGATGTGAAAATTATGCATTGATTCTATTATTCGCATATGTTCATTCAAATGAACTCTATATAATTCATGATTCATTTCTGCCTGATGTTACATACTACTTATATCTGTCATCATAAGTAGCATACAACATTAAGTTATTTATTTGAACACATAAATATTGTTACAAATGGGCGTCGAATACATATATGACGCACTTGATTTTTGTGTGTGGGCTGTGATACTAACCGGGTGTCTAAACTGAAGCACGAGGTTTTCTTAGGAGGCCACACACGCAGCCTTCGACCTAAAGCTCTGTTCCACAATGTAGTGAGGCAACCTAAGGAGGTACAGTCTCATAGTAGCCGGTGACCGACAGTTGATTCATGCACTATTTATTCCGTCAGGATGTCGGAGCCTATGTGAATCATTGGTTTGGAACCAGGATTTTCCAAATCCCCTAAGTGGATCCGCCATATCCACCAACACGGTTAAAGCCCCTGACGTGCATTCGTATTTTGTCCTCTCAATTTCTTAAACAACAGTAATACCGTGAGAAGGCAGTGAGTAGAACTCTCCTGACAGTGGTTGTATACGCGTGGCCATGTGAGAGCATTTCGAGAGGGCGAGCTAACTCTTCACACTCTCTGCTGTATCAGAGCATTTGGGACAGCATACAACATATTAGTATTATAAAATTAATGCATAGACAAATAGTTATCAATAAGTTTATTGTATTAAGATAGATTACCTGTGAATATATCCTTGATAAATTTCAAAATACTGATTTGATAATGAATTCAATTTATCTGGGACACAATGGAAACACGTAGAATCTTAGCAAAATGTAAAAAAATGTGCAGTTTTACGAATGAACAATGATTGAATATATTCCTATAACATATCGTTATTTCATAAACAATACCCCTGTCATGAGAAGGTGTTAAGTAGGGCATCCCTCACTTACATACTTACTTAGGCCTGTTACACCTCTTGGAGGTGGATAGACCACCCACCAACATTCTCCATTCAACTCTATCCTGGGTAATCCTTTCCAGTTCTTTCCAGTTGCTATTCATCTTTTTTTCATATCTGCCTCCATTTCTCGACGTGTTATGTTCCTTGGCCTTCTTTTTTTTCTATTTCCCTTCAACATTCCAAATTAGTGCGTGTGCCTCTTGATATAGTTTGATGATTTCCATTATATATATACATGTTCTATCCACTTCCAATGTCCTTTTTTCTAATCTCTTCCTCATTTACAAGTTGGTTCATTCTCTTCCACAATAAATTGTTACGGATAGTAACTAGCCAACAGATATCCCTGATAGTGGCTATATACTTGTGGCTATATAGTTCAAAATCTACTTAACAATGATACCATAACAATCTCTGAACAGAATAAGACCATAATAAGATCCCGATAGTTACCATTTATTATTCACATCCGGGGTTATATCATATATACTTAGATATTCTTAAAGAAAACAAAATCACATTATGAATCTAACCAACTGATTGACTATTTAATTGTAAAATAATAGTCGAAGTTTTTTTTTGTAAATGACATAGTTTATGTGGAAACAGTAAACAATGTTCCTCTTCTCCCCTCCCATTCTTTCTCCTTCCTCTTCTTTTTGTTGTTGGTGTTGTCCTTCTCCCCCTCGCTCTATCTGTCTATCTTGTTTGTTTACTTGATTTATTGTGTTTTCTTTTCTTTTAGTGATCAATCATATATTCTCATTTATATTTATTTAGTAGTATGCTTTGATTGATTTAAGATCATGTTAGACCAGGATTGAAAATGTGAAATCACTGGACGACTGTTTCTTCCTGTTGTGGTGTTCCTCAGCAGTGTGCATCCTTGATCTTGTTCATGGGATTCGAAAACAAAGTATTCTGTCTCGAGCACGAACCTTTAGACCACTGAGCTAGCGGTCATCCAACGGTGTTAATGTTTAATATCAACCAATCCATGAAATTGCATAACTATCCTCCATTGTACTGAGGTAGATATCTGTCTCTATCCAACGCGGATTAACTCCACTGGTCAAGACTTTTCATTACAAGTCAGAGAATTACTTCACCAAGCTATTCACTAGTGAGCTCATGGTGAGTATCAGTTAAGGGTTGTAGAGATTATAAGAGTTTTTGATTGAGATCATGCACCACAATAGAACGAAATGGCTGTCTAGTAATTTCAGGTTTTCCATGGTTGTTTAGCTTCAACTGACTTATGAATTAAACTATTAAATAAACATATATATACACGGAATTATGATCATGTTAACGAAATAATTCCAAGAGGTGTCAATATATAGATCCAATGTGCTTGTGTGTAACTGATAAGGAACACGTTGTATAATCTGAACTAAAACATGTTCAACGGATCGTTATTGAAATGACTAGATAACGTTAGCGAACTAATTCACAATGAGGTGTGTATACAATCACATATATTTAGCAAACGGTAATCAGTAAGACAATATGAAGAAGTTAACAAGAATAATGATAGTTCACTTAAACAAATTAATTTAGTCAATATAGTGTATATATTATATATATACTGAATAGTTAATGAAAACAAAGATGGATAGGGGCTAGCAGTGGATTCCAGTACGTGTTTTTCGTCCTATTTGTGACTCGTCATCTGGATGTATCTGTATCACGAAATTGATGTTCACTCTGAGACTCGAACAGAGAACCGTTCGCTTCAAACTCTATTACATTATCCACTTAGCTACTAAGTCTTGATAGTCATTTCCTTATACAGTGGGTTAACATTTAAATGATAAGATTCAAGTAACCAATGCAAAAATGAATTAAAACTTCAACTTATTAAACAAGCTATTGACTACTTGAAATCAGTAGCTAAATGAATCAAATGATAGTGTTTGAAACAAACAGTATTATGTTCTTGTCTCAAAGTGAACATCTACTCTTTGATACAAGCACATCCAATTGACGAGCCTCAAAAATAGGACGAAACGTATATCCAAGTTCTTTTGTAAGCAATGATAGATAGTGGCTAACAATGGAATCCACGACGCGCGTTTCGTCCTATTTGGGACTCGTCAGCTGGATGTTTCTATTGCTAATGACTATCCATTAATAACTTATAAATCATAACTCAGTTTCTATAATATAGATCAATGTTGAATAGAATTCCCAAAATGACTTACTTCACAAAGAAAAGCTTTTTAAGATTACTATATCATATAGGTTATCTCATATATCATTTGGCTTATCAAATATATATATATATATACATAGATACTTGGGTATATCTATGCAAATATGTAGGTACATTGTACATGAAACACATGATGCTATGAAGCAATATGACACGCTTAGAAACACGTTTATTAGTGACTAATAAATTCCTTTTATCACATGGCAACTATTAATATTTAACTATAGACCATTATTATTATTATTATTATTAATCAGAATTTATTTAGAAAGTATAGTTACTATGTGATTGTATTTTTTTGTGTCGTTTTTTTTGTTTTTGTTTTCTTCAATTAGTCAGTTATTCAATTATTGAATATCTATTGTTCCTATGGCGTTGAATTATTTGACGGGGGGGGGAGGAGTTAATGTTGGGGGTGAGGGTTGTGGTAGGTATTATTTATACAACATAATAAAACTACCTTATGAATAAGAATATTTTTGTACATTTATATATTAATATGAAATGAGTTAAATGATAAACGATGAAAATGGAATCAAAATACTCTGGTACAATCGACAGTGGGGAGAGTTAGCTCTCTCTCTCTCTCTCCAAATGCTTTCATATGGCCACACGTATACAATCATTGACAGGGATGTTCTACACACTGCCTTCTTGCGACTTTATTGTTGTTGATGAAATTGAGAGAAAGAAAAGCGAATATACGTCAGGGGCTTTAACCGGGTTGGTAGATATGGAGGATTCACTTAGGGCTGTTAGAAAATCCGGATTGCAATCTAATGGTGTATATGGGCTTTAGTATTCTGAATGAACAAATAGCATATGAAACAATTGTTAGTCACCGGCTACCATGAGACTGCATCTCCTAACATTGTTCTACTGCATTGTGTATCAAACGTTTTAGATTGAAGAATTCATGTGTGGCCCCCTAAAGAAACTGCCTGCTTCTATCTGAACATCCATGCAGTATCACAGCCCACACACACAAATTAAGTGACTTGTATGTCGCATATGTATTCGGTTCCCCCTTGGTACCAATATTTATGTATCCAAATATAAATAACAAAATATTGTGATATAAAAGTTAATTTTTCTATTCCAGGTTGTTATCCCCTAGATATTGACATACTTGTAGTAAAAACCATGGTTATTAAATATGAATGTATGTATCATGATGTAGAGAAGATTCCAATCGAATTAATAAGATAGCTAAGTGGATTACATGATGGCATTTGAAGTGAACTGTACTGAGTTCGATTCCTAGAGTGAACATCAACTTCCAGATTCATTTGATGAGTCTTAAAATAGGACTTAACACGCATTCTGGATTCCACTATTAACCCGCCATTGATCTTTGTATATAAAACTTTGTTTTAGTTACATAAATAAGGTTTGAGAGGGAAAATTGCAGAACATCGAACTAATAGTTCGACCTCATTGAGTTATTAAACAGTAGATGATTATGTAATGAAGTGACCAGAAACAGATTAATAATACTAAAGAAAGTTGGTATCAGTCAATTATGAATTAATTAGAAATGACAATGATGTAATCACGACTGATTGATCACTGAGTGGTGATCAGTCAATCGTGATTACATCTCAGTCCTACAGGAGATCGTTCACGGTACGGATAGCTCAGTAGTAATGTCTCTGATTGTGAAGCTGGGTGACACGGGAACAAATCCGTCAGGGAGCACCAGTTCCCTCAAGATTACAAGTACACCTTGCTGACGAGTGCCAAGTAGCACGAAACCCGGGTCCAGGGTTTCGTGTTGACTACCTCGAACTACTATCTAATCTCGACAATGATGTAATTAAACTTGAGAGAGAGAAAGAAAGAGATTTGAAATAATGAATGAAGCAATAAAAGGGATAGCATGTTACCATGACAAAAAAAGATTTATTACTATCTCTTTTTAGCCACATAGATCTGGTTTCAAATATTTGATGGGAAAATATTGAAAGATTGGAGTTTCATTGTTTATTAATCATCTTGAAAGATTTCACTGTGTCCATTTGATGTCCTATATCAAGGAGAGGTCATAAGATGACACTGCTGAATAGTTGTAATCCACTTGTCCTTATATATATATTCTTTGAATCGAACATAGGCTCTCCTATCTGTTCCACCAATGTAACTTCTTTGACGGATACATATGATTACGTATATACAGTTGATTGTACTATGAAAGAGATAGTTATGGACAAGGCAATCAATTGAGCCTCTGTATAAATACTAGTCAATACAGAAATAAGATACTGGAAATCCTTTTCTATACCATTAAAATAATCATATCAGAAACCAATAATTCACACTCTCAACATTTTTGTATCAGAAATCCTCAAGGAATCTTCTCTGCTAGCCACTATTCATCATTGCTTATTATGGTTGTGAATTAAAGCCCAATCGAGGCAATACGTACAGTATGCACATGTGCCAACAAGAGACTGATCAATTGCAGTCCTACATAACAATGGGAAGGTACAGGCAAACAATACCAAGTGAATCTAAAATTTCACCCCATTTCATAAGTTAGCGGCTATCAGGATTCAGTAACTAAATGGATAACGCGATGACGTTTGAAGTGGACGGTAATGGGTTCGAGTCTCAGGGAGAACATCTGACGAGTTACAGATAGGAGGAAACACTCGTTCTGGATTCCACTACTAGCTACTACCCTCATATTTGCTTAGAATGCTTGTGGCTTTAGGCAATAACGAGGTAATCCGTACAGGATACACCTATACCAAAAAGAAATCGATCGATTGCTTTCGTACACAACAATGGGAAGATACAAGCAAACAATACCAAATGAGTTGCTGTGGTAAAACTCAGCCTTTAGCTCTTCTAAAGTTACTGCCGGTCTCAAACACTGGTAAGGGAGGAGGGTTGGGCATTGCTGTAAAAGAATGTTATTATTAGTTGAAGTTAGACATTAACACCATTGGATGCTGGCTCGGTGGTCTGGTGGTTGAGCGCCTGGTTCAAGACTGATAGGTCCTGGATTGTAATCGCGCAAGGCGGGGTAATGAATGCGCACTACTGAGGAGTCCCACAAGAGAACGAAACGGCCATCCAGTGCTTCCAGGCTTTCCATGGTGGTCTGGCTTCAATTGACTCATGATCTCAACTATTGAAATTATTATTATTTTTTAAATATTCTAATTTATTCTTCATTTCCAAATGCCAAATATTGGAATTCTTCATACATTATGATAAATAAAACTTGGTGCCTTGTGTTGCTTATGACTAAAATTAAAGAAGATCAGTTGACAGTTTTAAGAATTACAATTGATTGATTGTTATTGGTAACACAAATCAATATAAAGATTAGACAATGTTTCATCCTGGCATTGAACACTTCAACAGTATGCATTTACGAGCGAAGTATCGATTCCGAGCGGATGTGCAATGTTGTTATGTCCCGATAAGCATAAGGAATGGTAACTTTTGGGATCCATTTATGGACCAGTACTATCGTGTAATTTTTATGTAATAAACTGTTCATATTCATGTCCCTCTTACTATGAGCTTTATTTTGACCTATGAACTATTATTCTACGATTTACCATTCTAGAATTATGCCCTGTCTATTCATTACTACCTCCCACGTTCACAGCCACTGTTAGGTATGCAGAGGAATATGCCAATAATTATCGTGTTAAGTCGAATGGTGTCCTTGAACATTAAATGGACATTTCCCATTGGTCGATGTTTGTTTCACTTGTTAAATATTATGTAAATGTTGTTTTCTATTTTATGGTACGATGTGGTTTGTTTGTTTGGTATATAAATGGAGTATGTTTGAAATATAGTGATTCTTAACTGAGAGGCTGTGACTTGCGTTCTAGACTCGATTGACTGGGCTAGACAGGGAAGCGGGACCAATCGGGATTCTAGGTCGTCCTTGCGTGTTTACGTGTCCACTGTAACCGATCGATATAAACGCTGCTTATCATAACCTGCAGTCACACCCGTTACAACAATTTGGCGACGGGGATGGGATTCGAACCCACACGGGGAAACCCCGTTACAACAGCCACATTTGGCCAAATCTTGTACAAATGTTGTTTCCTATTTTATGGTACGATGTGGTCTGTTTGGTTGGTATATAAACCCAGTATGTTCGAAATACATGATTCATATTGCAGAGGTTGAGATTGGGAGAAGAACAGATAAGGAATCTAGACTAGTCGTACTGGTTTATGTGTCACTGGTTCGATCGATAATTCATTACTCTCTAATTGGCGGTATCGTTACGTTATTTATTAACAGGGAATACAGGTCACAAGTTTTATAACAAATTTTGAGGAGTTTCATACTAGAACGAAATAGCTGTCTACTGCTTTCTGATGTTTAACCGATATTCAACTTTGATTCGTTTGTGATTTCATTGGAATTGAATCATTTCGAAAAACTTTTATACTGTTGATCCATTAATCTATCGGTTACTATGTGATGCCCATATACCCTATTCTAGTAGCTTCTGAGCTGGTCAATTCATTCATTCATTCTTCTTGAATTACATTTTGACCATGTTAATTATTTACTTATCGACCTTGATTGTTTTCATATGAGCGTATGTGTATGTACCATGTAGTGTCGGTTATTATGTTAAGCCCATATACCTTATTCTCGCTTTCGGACAGACCATTCTATTCATTCTACTTGAGTCACATTCTGACCTTGTTATTTATTCGCTTATCAATCTTCACTGTTTTTATAGGAGCGCATAGGTGTGTGTACATTTCTTATCCCGTTACTCATTACATGTCTGTAACTTACTTTTGTGTAACTACAAATATTGATTAACGCTTGGTTAAATGGGGAGTTGGCTTACCCGCCATTTCCACTGAGCGTCGTTTCTCTTCCCTCTATTCCATTCGCTTCATATACAAAATATATGTATCCAAAAGTCCATTCTCGTTATTCGACTTATCTAAATCCGTTATTGACTAATGCGATTTAAGTCGACGATGATATACGAGAATAGGCGATAACAATCATTCATACGATCTAATTGGAGTAAGATCCAC